AAGCACGAGAGTGATGATCCTTGATTGATTACTGATCAGTGATGATATGGCCTAGGACGAGACTAGACGAATGAGGTTGTCGAACCGATCTCTGCGACGCAAGCTCCACCATTTTTGTTTGGTGGTTTTGAATTCTAGTGACACTTGAATTCTGGGGTGCCATTCAATATTTCACTGATCTTGAAAATCATCATCCATTCATGGAACTGGCTGCCTACTGCAACACTTGTCTACTTTGACCTGTCACAAATGCATTAGTAGAGCCAATGTTTTCACAAGTTAGCTATGACCGGATCGACACTTCAGCGAACCCATCTACGAACTGGCCTGCGCACTCGAATGCAAAACCTAACTTCATTTTCAACTCAACCAGCCATAAATCCATCAATAATGAACGGATTTCATTCAAATTTGAAAATTAAGTAGATAATGTTGGTAATTTGTGGACAGAAATATTTCAGATTTTTACATCAATAACTTTTAATAATACGGGAAACCTAACTTCATTTTCAACTCAACCAGCCACAAATCCATCAATAATGAACAGATTTAATTCAAATTTGAAAATTAAGTAGATATTATCAATAATTTGTGGATGGATTTATTTCATATTTTTACATCAATTACTTTTTTAAATGCCACAAAATACTGAAACTTGACCTGACTAGGACCTAACCTCAAAGACGTACCTGCGAGGTGAACGTGAAGTTAGGTTTTCCGTATTAATAAAAAAATAATTGATGTAAAAATCTGAAATAAATTTGTCCACAAATAATTGATAATATCTGCTTAATTTTCAAATTTGAATGAAATCCGTTCATTATTGATGGATTTATGGCTGGTTGAGTTGAAAATGAAGTTAGGTTTTCAGTATTAATAAAAAAGTTATTGATGTAAAAATCTGAAATAATTCTGTCCACAAATTACTGATATTATCTACTTATTTTTCAAATTTGAATAAAATCCGTTCATTATTGATGGATTTATTGCTGGTTGAATTGAAGGAGAAGTTAGGTTTTTTAATCGAGTGCGCAGGCGAGTTCGCTGAAATGTCGATTCGGTCACCTATGTGAAAATCAAGCAACGAAATAAAATTTCAACTAAAGTACTGAGTCCGTTCTTCGGTCTAAAAGCTATCTTCTCGGCCACAACAAGTGATCACGCCCAAAATATTAGATAAATGCAATATGCACGCATGTACGAAAATAAGCAAAAGGAAGATGACCTGTTTCCGTGACTTGCTTATGTTGAGCGAAGGGGGAGAAGGGTAAAAATAAAAAAGGAAAACGTGACAATGTAATCAAACACAGGAAAAATAAAAGTGTCAAAATGTTCCAAACAGAGGGAAAAATGTAACGTGTTCAATTTGGCTAATTATCGTCATGCTAGCTAGATAAATGCACAGTACATAAGACAATTTTTTTTTTCGTTTTATAACCAACGTTTCTGACGAATAATTTCATTAAATTTGCAGGTAATAGTCTGTTTTTGAACAATAGAATTTCTGGTATTTTGAGCTAGGCAATCTGGTATTCTCGCCAAGAAAAAACCTGGCAACACTGTGTTGCTGTAATTACGTGTGAGTCGTGTGTATAAGGTGCCGGGTGCGTATAATCGTATGTAATTGAATTGTTGTTTCCTACTGTCTTGTTTGTCGAATAATGTAGTTTGTTATGTATGCACAAGCAGCACAACATTATTTTTGTATCTCTTATAATCTTACTTTTCACGGTTGAAGTTGAACTACGGTAGGAGCCTAGTAGGTATAGTACAGACTTCAGCCATGCTTACTTCAATCTCAAGGTGCTATCTCAGTGAGATAGAATAGAATTGTCGGCATTGAAGAAATAGGCCCATGGTCTGTTGCCGATTCTTGAATTTTTCGTGACTTGATTCACAAGGGATCCGGCCTTTGGAACCCGATCTTTCCATAACTGACGATTGATTGAGATAGCTGCTGGACTTATTGCCTGGTCCGTAATTTGCTAATCATTTTAAGACTGAACAATGAACATATGCTCCTACAGTCCTACTGAGTCCTACATAGCTTCGTCTAGTCTGTTCTTGAAGCCGTTCATACTCGGATCGTCAACGATGCTATCAGGGCCATTCAGGGGACAGTGAGGCTGTTCCACAGCCTCCCTTACTCGAAGCGAGAAGAAATGTTGTCGCATGCGGCATGGTAGTGTTACAACTTACAACGCAGTTTTTTTAGTTTATAGCCGTGGCCCCTGTTGTTGGTTCTTGTTTCAAATTCTACCTAGTAGTAATCCTTCTGTGACCTTGTATAAGCCATGAGTATACTTGAATGCTTCAATGAGTTCCCCACGCAGATGTGGGGAACTCATTGAAGTGATTAGTATCTGTCTAGGTATTAGTATGTGTAGAGTGCCTATTTACAAGTTTGGTGGTAACTTGGCTGCTAGGCAAAAGAACAATATTATGAATTATAAGTGCGTGTGGGATTGCAATGATAACGAGTTTGTTGGATGGAGGAACTGTGGCTGTGAACTGTGATTGAGAGGGATAAAGGATAGGTATAAGGATTAAATTGGAGACTGAAGAGTCATAAAGAAAGAATGAGATGAAAGAATGTCAAAAATTGAAAAATAGAATGAAAAAACTTGAATACCTAAATTTATTGTAATAGGCCTATCATGTCAGATGGTTTTGGATAAAGTTATTAAATTTAGTTTTTATTTATTTATATTTTTAAGTAACACTAATGTTATAATATATATATATAGGTATAATAATTACTTTTTAAAGACAACACTTCTTAAGAATCCAGTGTTTCTAATAATCTAATGTTACTGAAGGACAATGGATTTCTTATTTTATTTTCGAATATTAACCAAATTAATTTTTCAATTTTTTTGATATATAAAATTTTTTCAAAATTATATATTCTGTCAAATGTCAATTGATTCATGCAATGATGCAATGCCTCCAACTTCACACAAGAGCGCAAAATTTCAGATCAATTGGACAGGTAGAAGTGTGTCAAATATCAATTATAACTTTTATACCTAGCTGACAAAATTATTTTTCAGTTTTTTAATATTAAAAAAATAATTTTTAAAATCATTTATTCTGTCAATTGATTCATGCATTGTCTCCAACTTTATGCAAGTGCATGTGCCAATTTTACTGCCAAATTTCATATCAATTGGACATGTAGAAGTGGGTTAAATATTGATTATAAGATTTGAAGCAGACAGACAAACAAACTACGAGAAGTGATGTTAAAGAGAAGTGTTGTAATAATAATAGAAGATTTTTGGTCTCACAATTGATTCTTTCAAGTAATGACTGAACAAAATTCATGATTCAATTGATTTTTGTTGCATCATATTACTAGGCTATCTTCTACGTTGATGCTTAAAAAATCTGCAAAATGAGCAGATTTTAAGCAACATCTCTAATTTTAAATAATCATTGTAGCATTACTCATGAATAATTTTGCCTTCAGATTATGATGTTTAAACATTTTAAAATTGAGTTATATATAAAGTGTCACTCATTAGCCTATTCCCAGGGCCCAGGGGTAATTAGGTACCGTAAAATGGGGTAACTTAGACCGGCGGGGTAACTTAGACCACTTTTCGTTTTTTTAACAAAAACCCCCACAACTCAAAAACTATTTGACATAGAAAAATTTTGTCAATGGGCATTAAAGGCCTAATACCGAGGCTACATAACACAATAGAAAGATTTGAAAAGTTTGCATATCTAATAGGTTAAAAAATTAAAAATGACCCACAAAAAAAGCTATTATTTAAAGACTGTCAGAGTACCCTCTCCAATTTTTTTAGTTTTTGGTTAAATAACTCCAGGTTTTGATGCATTGTAGTAGAACTCTTCTAGTTACATATGCAAATGACAAATTTTAGGAAAGTGACATAGTTTGCAAATGGGGGGCGCTGCCCCCAAATGGGGTAACTTAGACCACCTAATGTCGGCCCTGACGGGGTAACATAGACCGGCTTGGAAGTTAATATAAAATTACCATATATAACATATTTTATGTTTGACAGCCTATTTAAATTAGGTAGTCACATTTCCCTCATTATGGGGCGGTGCCCCCCATTTGCAAACTATGACACTTTCCTCAAGTTTGTCATTTGCATATGTAACTAGAAGAGTTCTACTACAATGCACCAAAACCTGGAGTTATTTGGAGTCATTTTACCAAAAAATATATTTGATTTTACCACCCGGTCTAAGTTACCCCAAGAGCTGGGGTAACAAAGACCACCACTTTTTTTGAAATTACATAAAGACTATGAGTATGAGAGGCAGGAGCCAGCAATTTATGGTAAGTGAAGCTAGAGTATAGACCTGTATTTTGCATGTTTCAATTCAAGTTTAATTTAGCTAGTAAAAAAATGGCATCATTTATAAAAAAAAGTGGTCTAAGTTACCCCATTTTATGGTATGCTTTTATTTTGGGTCTTACTCTGGCACCTTACAATTTACAAATAGCATATGGAATTTTTCCAAAGCTGCTATGTGATAGCCCTTGCAAATACCTTTAAAATGAGCCCAAACTTGTTGTGAAATGTTTTATGGTATGAAGTTATTAACAAAAAAGGCTCAAAACTGTCCTTTATTTCACCATTTGACAGTACCATCAAATGGGGTAATAAGGGACGGGTTGGGTATTAAGCGACAATCCTCTGACATTTCGAAGAAATGTTGTAGCAGGTAAACTAATTAAAATATTGCAAAACAAAAAATAGTGGCTTAAAGTTCAACATTTTTCCTATCTATGTAACATAAAGTAAGTTAAGAAATCATACATTTACTATGTACCTCTAAAAAATCCTTGAAAAAAAGTGTGAAAAGTGAGATTTTGGATAAGTACCTATATACTGATATTGGTCTTCAAGTGTACAACATTGTTTTTTTCCAATATTGTAATTCAATGATGTTCTTGAGAGTGTGACTGTGGTGTGTGACAAAATTTATTAATTTTAGTTTCTTTTTTGATTACATAGATATAAATACTTTGTCTGAAGATCATGCTTAGTAGAAATTCAATCTTTGCTTCTAATTTATCGCAGACATATTTGGCAGCTTGTGGAATAAGGAGAGTTTTTGAACTTCAAGTATTAAGTAATTGCAACATGGCTGCAGTTCCTGGCTCAATGATAGTCAATCAGCCTGCACACCTTGCTGAAGGAGGTAAGGATTAGCTGTAACCTTTAGTTAGCACTTCAACTAAGGTCAACTTTCATCTAAAAGAGTTATATATAACTTGAGATTTTGTACTTTACAGCAGTAATCAAGCTGTACATTATCTATTTAACACGTTTTTCTTAGCTTAGCTTTGTGTTTGTTTTTTGTTGTTAACATTGACAATGAAAATTAGCCCACTTCTGATTGTTCTAGAGATCTGAAATTTGGCATGCAGGCTATTTTCGCCTAACAATTTCAGATACAATCATAAAAACTAGTAATTAGAGACCAAAATTAGTTTAATTGAGTAAAGTATATATATAGTATATATATATATAGTATGACGTGCGGGCGCTCACGTTATAGACAAGCAGGCGCTAACGCTGCATATCATCGATACGTACGTCAAGTCATACCTAATCAAGTCTTAATCGTTTTTCTTGTGGACTAAAAAGTAGAAAATAAAATACTTGAAAAAACTTTTAAAAAACACGTTTTTCTTGTGGACTAAAAAGTAGAAAATATATTATGGTTCGCCCCAAAAAAACAGGGGTCGGGCTGTACGTTCACCATCAAATTTCCAAAATTTAAGTGTTGTGTGCTTTTCGCTTTAATCATAAATCTGCCCGGCACACGTTTTTTTGGGGCGAACCATAATTTATTTTCTACTTTTTAGTCCACAAGAAAAACATGGTTTTTTAAAAAGTTATTTTTAAGTATTTTATTTTAGTTTACATTTATTCTAAATGGTAATCAGGAATATTTTTCATTGCCTCATTATCTTTACCTAATACCATCTTACCTTCTACTAAATAGTATCATAGATTGCACTCATTTAATCAATATTCATTAAACAATTGATAAGTCAAGAGAATGTTTATGGTTTTGTGTTCCTAGTGGTCATGATGCATCTAATTTATCAGGTACATATATAAATATATTATTATTGGTTATTTTTCCAAGAAGATTAATTTGCTTTCACAAGATTGTATTTGGTTGATAATTCTACAGCTTGTTACCTATGACTTTTCTGTATTTGCTTAATTTTATTAAATTTCCTTCTGCTGAAAGCTTTGAGTGCACTGCCGTTTGTTTAAGTTCAAGGTGGTGGCTATGACAGCCATGCTATTTTTAATTCAAAACTTTTTTGTGGACAGATGGTGACTGCCCGGCTCTGGTACCTGGCTCCCTGCGGGCTTACAATATGAAGTACTGCCCCTATGCCCAGCGTACTTTACTGGCCCTTGCTTACAAAAATGTCAAGTAAGAATGAAATTTTTTTTACCATAAAAAATTCAACAATGCACATTGTAGCCCAGATACAACATTAACTAGGTACACTCTACTTCATTCATTTGTATAAAATATAAATCAACCTATTAAATCTCTTAAAATCTACTCTGCTAATGCAAATAGTGAAGAGAAATGAACTAAGTGAGATGAAATAACTATTATACCATTACAGTTTCTTATGAAAAATTGTAACATGTGTTGAAAAAACAGAGCAGGTAATGCCAAGAGTTGATAGTTTCAAAATTTCATAATTTTTTTGCCTTTGCTTGTCTATTTTAAATACATATATAAATCATTTCATTGCATTGACTGTGTTCACCGCCATTGCAGGTTTGACATTGTCAATATAAACTTGAAGCGCAAGCCTGCCTGGTTTTTGTCTCGCACTATGCTCGAAAAGGTGCCTGTGCTGGAGCGTGCTGACGGTAGCATCATATCCGAGTCCATGGTGACCATGGACTATCTGGACGAAGTTTACCCTCAGCCACCTCTGCTGCCTCAAGACCCATGGAAGAAGGCTGAGGAGAAAGTTTGGGTTGAAATCTTTGGACTGGTGAGACAGTTGATAAAACTTGATTTCAGTGTGACCTTTTTACAAAAAAAAATCTCAAGTGGAAAACTTATATCAATAAACATGCCACTTTTAATATCACGTGGTAATAATTGTGTATTGCCAATGCAAGAATTAACCCCAATCCATTGTTGTTAACAAAAAGTAATCAATAAATTCATGTATTATATTATTTTAGTTTATTTGCCAGATGAATTGTTTGCTATAAAAAAGGGAATGAAGAGAGCCAAAAAGAGAATGTGCAGCCAGAATGTAAATGTACTAGCCTCATGAGCGGAATCAAAATTTTATTATACCAGTTTATGCCTTTATGGTTATTCTAGTTTTAGGACCTGCTTTGATTTTTGCCTCTGTCATCTAAAATATCCAAGTAGTGATACTGCATAACATATATGACAAAATTGGGTCTCATTTTAATAGAATGTAGCTTCCGATATGCAAAATTCTGAGTTGTAACTGTTGTTAGCCTTGGTGGTTCCTTCATTTATTCTGCTGTATTTTTTTCAGTCAGTCTCTAAGATCTACAAGTTGTACAACACATCCCTTGATGAAGCCACCAAAGATAAAATCTTTGAGGAAGTCACGCAAGGTCTTGATGTCTTTGACAAAGAACTTGCCAAGCGTGGGACCAAGTTTTTTGGAGGCTCTCAGCCTGGTAAGATTTTGTACTAATGCATTTGTGCTTGAGTGCTGAAGTTAGATGCATCAATTATTTTTATCATGCTGTTGATAAATTTTCTCAATATGATCAACTTTTTCCATCACAACACTTTGCACTGCTAGTTTTTATATATTTCTTAAGATGTAATTAATTCATTAACTCTCGGGATTGGTAAAATTTTGGAGCTAATTGGATAGGATATATGGAAATTTTGGTTGTTTTTCAACTCCTTTTCTTATCATTATCTTAGTTACAACTGTAATTTTCATCACAATCTTGGTGATTGAGAAGTTTTCTTGTGTTACAAGACCTGCTGCTCCGTTGCAGGTCTGTTGGACTTGGCTATCTGGCCATGGTTTGAGCGCATGCCTCTTTTGCCGCTGGTGTTTCATCGCACTGCGCTCACTGCGAAGCAGGCCAACCTGGTCTGTCAAAAAACATGAAGTCGCAATTTACGATGTTCATAGTAATTGACAGCTGAAAGATAATGACCAATTTGTGATGCCAGAAGATATTGGCTATATTGCGCGAGATAGGTAACTTAGATGATCTAGAAGAGTAGTTAGCTAGCGTTACCTGATTTCGATGAAAAGTTTTGTTTCTAATGTGTGATGCCCAGGAAATATCAGTCGCTATTACATCATGGCATACGATGCGGTGTTAATGGTGAAATCGTCATCTGAATGCTATTGCTATCCCTTGGAATTGCTATTGTCTCTTAAAATGGCAGTCTAAACGAGTATTTTCATATTCAATCAAGATTTTTAGAGCGTTCGTTCGTTAGCTATCTGTTACAGAACTAGCTATGGTTCACTGCTCGTTCAGTTCAGAGTTTATTTTGAAGCTTGTTACTGAGTAATGTATTTTTACAGATGAAGTGGGTGTCGGCCATGGAGGAGGTACCGGCAGTCAAGGCTCTCCTCATCCCTGCTGAAGAGCACGCCAAATTTATGACGTCATTTATGGCTGGCGCACCGGAGTATGACTTGGCGTTCAAGCCGAAAATGTGAAGTTGTGAACCTAACCTAACCTCGTCGGCGAGCATGGACTCTCATTCTACATTTCGCCTCTTTCTATGTTCATCATTATCTTTTGTTATGAAAATGTAAAAGACTGACATGCTCTGTCCTTGGAATCATAACTATGGTTGCTAAAAAGGTTTCTCTACATTTTCCATTTCTTCTATTTTTTAAAGGATAGTTTCTGAAAACCAACTTTTTTGTTCCGTAGGGATTGAAAACACTTCTGAAATTTTTTCAGAAACTAGTGCCTTGAATGCTGCACTCAATCTCTTCACTATTGTTGATTTCTAAAAAGTAAGGATAGAAGTTATATTGCATGGCAAAATCTAGTATTTTTAAAAATAACATCATACATATATTAGAATTTATCATTAAATGAATAAGAAATTGTTTACTATCCAAACTTCGATTGCCATCACTCTGGAAGTGTTATTTCTTACCACGATAACTTGCTTAATATCCGCTTAGCAGTGCCGATAGACTCGTGTGTAAGTCAAATCACATGGATCGCTGAGCAATCATCAGTGTTTTGGTCATAATTTTTGTGAACTTTTCTACATTCCTCATATTGCTTTTTTATGGGTGCTGATTAACCCTGATCAATTTTTTTAATGTAGTTTTGAATTATTCTGTATTTTATTGATTCTAATTTGTGTGGAGTTTTTATATATACACTAGCTTTTTGTCGTTAGTGACTTCCAGCTTCCACCGCTTGTATGGACAATGTGGACACAACATAATTGCCGGTTGAAGAGGCGACAAAGAGGGAATAATATTCGACGTTTTGTCGATTTCACTCGCCCAGGGAAGTTGGGAATGTCTGGGATCATTAAGTCGCACATTTGCTCGTGGTTACGTGATTAGTGCATTTCCCACGCAGTCTCTCACGTGGTTAGTACATTTGCTCGTGATTAATGACAGGCTATATGTTAAGAAATGTAGAATAATCACACTAGTGACTTCTGAAAGGAAGACGTAATCATCTGAAATTGTGTTGCCATTTTAGATTAAGTTTTTAACTTCTGGTTGTTCCGAGATATTTTTGATGTCATTGTTGATCGTTCTAAACTGATAGATTTTATTGTTCAAGCTTGTTGGCCAATTTCTCTATGTATGGTGCTTTATGTTAAGCAATCAAAGTACAACTTGAAACATAGAAATAATTTTTCACCCTGTCTACAAGAGACCTGACAGAGAATTTTTTTTTTTTTTGTTGTCATAACGAACTTTCAGTTGAAACGTGGAGGCTTATGTGTTGAAGCAACTAGTGAACTCTCAGAGTGCTCATAAGAAAACATTTTAACAGCTATTGCGAAATATTTCACGCAGAAGTACATACATCTTGAAGCATAGCTTCAATCAGAAGGTGCATTGCCAGTTTCAGATTCCGTGTTAATTGTTGGGAAGCGATTTACACCAAGAATACGAAGTCTTCCGATCTAATACTTTTTCTGTAAATCATTTCATGTGCGATAAATAGATTCCTACAATATCGTACCTAAAAGTGCTCCGATACGTACGGGATGAAACGTTCAATAAATACAGCAGGAATCATTCGATTCACAACTGTTGTTAAAAACAAGTGCCGAGTTTCCAGTGGTCGTCACTTGCAAAGGCAGTACTGTATATATGAAACCCCACAAATTGAAAAATCGAGGTTTTATGATTTAGTCAGTACCTTCTAGCAGACTGAACAGCTTATTCCTACAGGCCTGCAAACGGGAATATTGCTTGCAATTTACAAATTATTGAAGACATGAAAGTTATACAGCTTATTGCTGTCCTTGACTAAGGCCAGTGCACGGATAAACACCATTACCGAATAGGTTTAGAATTGGTTCTGCATAGAAATTTAATCCATTTACACTACTATGAATTGTGATTTCTTTCATATGAATGCAGCTGGTAAAATATTTGTCTGGATATATTTTAGGCATACAGTAACTTTTTTAAACATAATTCTTTGCAACAGCATGACTCGTTCATTTTTTACAATGTTTATAGAATAGTTTTTATTTCATCGTATCGTATCATCGCCCGTTTTTATTTCATCGTATCGGCAATTGAGAATAGCTTTGATGGCGAACCTCAAAAAAAAAATAATCCAGTAAATTTTTCATGCTTGACCAGGTAGGCCAGTTTTTCTCCTCAAGTCAGATAGACGCTCGTAATAACCAAGATTACTAGCTTAGTAATATACCTGATGTAGCTGATTTCTTGTACTCTGAGAAACTCGTATATGCATAAATTCGTTTAAATCACTGGTAGTTGTGGATGTCATTGCCATTCCATACCCTAGACATTGTCCGTAAAATACCAGCACTTGCATTTTAGAAAGCTATAGCTAGTGTTTGGAACCAATGTGCAGGAATTTATTCAAACGCCCTCATTTTATATTTCGTAGCTTAATTTAGTGAATCCTAGAATTAAACTACGGTTGGTAGTGAAATGCTCATCCTTTAGGCTCATTTTGAATTGAGAAAGGCAGTTTTTGATTCCTCTTTATTTGATGCTGCATTACATTTCAAATATTATGTTTAATGCAATATATAGTTAACATGCCCATTTAAATGCTTCTTAGAATAACCAAATTGATGCAATAGTTCTGATGCAATTCCGTACGTGCAGGTTTTTTTACGCTGTCGAGATATAATAAATGGTAAATTTGGATCCTCTTTTTTGCAACACTTCTCTTTAATTTCACTTCTTGTTGTTTGTTCATTTGGCTGCTACAAATCTTATAATCGATATTTAACACACTTCTACCTGTCCAACCGATCTGAAATTTTGCACATTTGCGGAAGTCGAAGACAATGCATAAATCAATTGACAGAATAAGTAATTTTGAACTTTTAATTTTTTAATAATAATAAAAATGAAAATTATTTATTTAATATATGAAAATAAAATTACATATTCATTGTACATAGGTATGTAACATCGGAGACACTGGATTCTTTGGAAGTGTTGTCTTTAAAAATAAAATTTTAAATGCATATTATTATTACTACACTTCTCTTTATAATAATAATAATAATAATAATAACGGTTTCAGCGCTTATTAGGCCGTAGGCCTGTCGCCGATTCTTAACATCGCAGAATATTCACAGCTTGTTGCAGTCTCGAACTCGAAACTCACTGATACAATTCTGCTGTGCTTAACCGCCCGGCCTTCTCACCGATTCTGACCAGAAACTTGCGCTCCGTAACACACTTCTACCTCCCAAATCGATCTGTTGAACACTTGCGTAAAGTTGGAGACAATGCATGAATCAATAAACAGAATAAATAATTTGAAAATTAAACAAATTAATATTAGGAAATTGAAAAAAATGATTTTGTCTGCTACACCGTAATCGAATCTTATAATCAACATTTAACACACTGCTACCTGTCCAATCAATCTGAAATTTTGCACACATGTGTGAAGTCGGAGAAAATGCATGAATCTATTGATAGAATGAATATTTTGAAAATTCAAATTTGTTTAATTAATAATTGAATGGTCATATATTATTTTTTTAAATATTTGAAAATAAAATTAAAAATTTATTGTATATGTGTAACATCGGAGACACTGGATCTTTTATAAGTGTTGTCTTTAAAAATTAATTTTTAAGCTCATATATTATCTTTCTTCATCACTGTCAAATCAGCGTAGGGCGGGTGGTACTGGTACCTGATCGGTGAGGGAGCGCTGCCGTAGCCCAAAAATTTGACTCTTAAATCAGCCCAAGAGCCAATGACAACCCTCTACATGCAATAGAAATAGTCAGCCTAACACATATGCAGCTGTTCTTACTTGCCTCATCTCACCACACCAGCTTGAAACAAGCAATACCTCAGCCCACAAGCTGATACTCCAAACGGATTACGCCCAATAGCTCCTACACCAAGGATTTAAGCCCATACCATCACTTCTTACGCCACAGGGTCCGCAGACCGCACCAGACTGCCGTAAATGGGAACGGCCCCGCACCTGACTGTTGCATCACCTTACCCACTTCGCAGGCGTAAGCCCAGCCCTGACGCTCACCAGCATCTCCTTCCTCCACACTTACCCCATCTCTCCACCTTTCCGCGAAAGGGTTAGGTTTGGTTAGGTTAGGTTAGAATTCTTCCGTAAGCTGGCACCGAAAGGAGGGGGAGCAGGGGGTAAGCGTGGAGGTTTAGCCTCCAGAAGAACGGACAGGCTGAAGAGGTAGCAGTGTGCTGATAGCACTGTGGCGCAGCCTCGCAGGGCGTTCTTTATCGAAAGTGGGGAAGGGGTAAGGCTGCATGGAATAGAAATATTTTGGGTTTTAGCGTGTGGGTTACGACCATTGTTTTGGCGGCTTGCAGCTCATTGGCTTGCTGATTTACATCCATGAAGGGATTTAGTCCCTGTGGCTTTCATCAAGTAATCATGTTGGCTAATTTGCTCTGCAGCATGCTTACGCACGGGGTGAAGTATGAAAATTATGCTGGTATTGGGCAATGCTGGGTTATTTCAGTCGTCCCATCGGTGAAATCTAATAATCTAAGGAACATGCCGAAACAACACTCTGGGCTATTTCCATTTCGCTTCAGAAAATAGTGGTGTAAAGCTATAAATTTTTAAAAACAAGATCATGTCATGGACGTGAGCGCAGCCGTGCACCACCAATTTTGTGCACCAATAAGCCCTGAATCGAACGCCTTGGATCTCTCCGGACCTACACCAATCAGCCGTGCACCACTCGGCTTTGTCCTCTTCCGGCCTTGACCACCATCTGCCGTGCATCACCAGGCCGCGGATCGAATATGACTTCCAGGCATCGTTAAATTACGTAATTTTACCGCAATTACCGCATCTGATGTTAGGTTTCAGATAGCATAGTTCTGTTCCAAAATTTATCGTCCTTCGACAAGTGGCCGTTCGACCAAGGGCTGGTTCGACCCACGGCCTAGATACGGACGGCATGAAGTGTTGAAGGCTACGTTCCGGAAGGCAGGAATCATGATGGTCCATTACATCCAGGGCAGAGCAGTGGTGGTCTTCCGGCAGGCGGCCGTCATGTCATGGTTATTGACGGCAGGATTATTACGCGGCTGATTGGGACTTGGGAGCCTTACTGAAATGAACTACCATTCAAGATTGTTCACAAATATATTTCCCTCGTTTCCAACTCTAATATTTAGAGAAACATGCAAACTGTAGGCATTCTATTCAGCACTGATTGGTGGTGCACGGCTGCGCTCCTAGCAGCAAGAACTGAAGAACGGGTACTGACTAAAACCCGGACCCGGACCGGTCCGCCGGACCCGGACCGAGTGACTAAAACCCGGACCAGTACCCTGAAGAACCTTATGTCAAAGATAACGATTTAGGTATTTGATCCGCGTATGCACGAAGAGAGGTCGACGAGTTCACATCTTGGACTACGGACGTGTGTATGTGATAGAGTGAGTACATTTTTGAATCGGTGAATAAATAGAAAAGAGTCTTAATTTTGAGACGGGCACCTATTTGGAGTACCTTGTTTGTACAAAAAACCAGCAGAATGCCCAATCCCAAAGCTAAACGTAAGAAAAAAGAACAAGGAGATGGAGCATCAATATCATCCGACTGCTCAGAAACCTATTCTGCTTCCGGTGTCAGCATTACTAATGACTAATCCCTCTGGAGTCTGGACTCTGGAGGCTCTGCAATACCCACCTGGTCACAAATGCCACCTCTCAGCCTTGATTTTATTTTTCTGTTATTTTTAGTTTTTTTTCTTGTTTTTTTTCTTTTTCCGTGTGTGTGTGTTCTCTCTTTGTTTCAGATTTTAACTTTCAGAGCTGTTAGAGTGTTAGGTACCAATTAAACCCAGTTTAGGCAAGGGGCTTTATGGACTAGCTTCCAGTGCTCCTATAAGAATAAATTAGAAAGAAAGAAAGAAGATAACGATTTAGAACTCACGTGTCAGACTCTAGTTAGTCTAGTAAAACCGTATTTTTTTCATAAACATGAAATAGGCATTAGCATGAGTTAAATTTCATATGAATTAGAAATAAAGTTCTAACTGCTATTTCTAAGGCAAAATTAGAGCCTGTTCAATGTTCATGAATCATCATCATCATGATACCTATGTGCGCCTGCCATCGTCGCCATGAGTTTGTGGTTCAACTTCAAGAAAGGGTTTCCATGGCTTGTGAAATACAGTAGGCTTGCAGTTCGAAAATTCTTTAATTTACGGCCCCAGAATTCCAGTTGTTGTCCAAAGAGTATTTATTTTTCACACTAGGCAACTTGGCTGCAGTTCCTGGTTCAATGATAGTCAATCAGCCTGCACACCTTGCTGAAGGAGGTAAGGAATAGCTTTAATATTTACCTATTTAGTACTTCAACAGTTCAGCTAAGGTCCTGTCATCTGAAAAAGTTATGTTTACCTTTATTTTTTTATGTTACAGTTGTCATTAAATGATTAAACTTGTCAAGCTGTTCATTATCCCTATTTTAGTAGGTATACTTAATACCGGTACATTTATCTACCTACTATAAATTTTAATTAAGAGCATTTTTCATTATGTCAATATTTTTAATTAATACCTACCATCTTATCTTTTACTAAATTTCATTGAATGCACTCAATAATTGAATTTCATTAAATAATGCAAATACGAGAATGTTCATGGGTTTTGTGTTCCTAGTGCAGTAGTGGTCATGATCTGACCGTTCTGACGCATCTAGGATTCATCTCATCAGATTCTTAGCTATAGGTATATATATTAATCATTAATGAAAGTTATTGTTCCTAGAAAATTAATTTACTTTCTTAAGATTGGATTTGGTTGATAATTCTACAGCTTGTTGCCTATGCCTTTTTATATAGGTAGTATTCTTTGCTCACTTTTATAGTTTTATTCAATTTCCTTCTGCTGAATGCTCACAGACACAGTGCAATACCATTTGTTTAAGTTCAAGATGGTTGTTATTGGCTATGATGTTCATGCTATTATTAATTCAAAACTTTTTGTGGACAGATGGTGACTGCCCAGCTCTGGTACCTGGCTCCCTGCGGGCTTACAATATGAAGTACTGCCCCTATGCCCAGCGCACTTTACTGGCCCTTGCTTACAAAAACGTCAAGTAAGAAAACTTTTTTCATCATATAAAAATTCAACGATGCACATTGTAGCACAAAAACAATACTAACTACACTCTACTCAGTCTACTGCATTCATTTGTACAAATCACGTTACTGAATCTCTTGAAATATATACTTGGCTAATGCCATTAATGCAGAGAAATGAACTTAATGGGATGAAATACCTAACTTGATACCATAAGAATTTCAAATGATAAATTATGACTTCTCTTGAAATATAAAGCAGCTAATGCCAAGAGTTGCTGGTTTAAAAATGTCATTATTTTTTTGCAATTGATTACCTATTTTAAGTATATATAGCAAATAAAAGCATTACATTGCATTAACTGTGTGCAACTTCATTTGCAGGTTTGACATTGTCAATATAAACTTGAAGCGCAAGCCTGCCTGGTTTTTGTCTCGCACTATGCTCGAAAAGGTGCCTGTGCTGGAGCAAGCTGACGGTAGCATCATATCCGAGTCCATGGTGACCATGGACTATCTTGACGAAGTTTACCCTCAGCCACCTCTGCTGCCTCAAGACCCATGGAAGAAGGCTGAGGAGAAAGTTTGGGTTGAAATCTTTGGACTGGTGAGACAGTTGATAAAACTTGATTTCAGTGTGACCTTTTTACAAAAAAAAATCTCAAGTGGAAAACTTATATCAATAAACATGCCACTTTTAATATCACGTGGTAATAATTGTGTATTGCCAATGCAAGAATTAACCCCAATCCATTGTTGTTAACAAAAAGTAATCAATAAATTCATGTATTATATTATTTTAGTTTATTTGCCAGATGAATTGTTTGCTATAAAAAAGGGAATGAAGAGAGCCAAAAAGAGAATGTGCAGCCAGAATGTAAATGTACTAGCCTCATGAGCGGAATCAAAATTTTATTATACCAGTTTATGCCTTTATGGTTATTCTAGTTTTAGGACCTGCTTTGATTTTTGCCTCTGTCATCTAAAATATCCAAGTAGTGATACTGCATAACATATATGACAAAATTGGGTCTCATTTTAATAGAATGTAGCTTCCGATATGCAAAATTCTGAGTTGTAACTGTTGTTAGCCTTGGTGGTTCCTTCATTTATTCTGCTGTATTTTTTTCAGTCAGTCTCTAAGATCTACAAGTTGTACAACACATCCCTTGATGAAGCCACCAAAGATAAAATCTTTGAAGAAATCACGCAAGGTCTGGATGTCTTTGATAAAGAATTAGCCAAGCGTGGCACCAAGTTTTTTGGAGGCTCTCAGCCTGGTGAGATTTTGTACTTTGGCATTTGTGCTTGATTGCTGACGTTAGATGCATCAATTTCTTTTATCATACTTGAAATTTTTTCAATATTATTGCTCAACTTTTCCCTTCACATCACTTTGCACTGCTAGTTTTTATATATTTCTTAAGATGTAATTAATTCATTAACTCTCGGGATTGGTAAAATTTTGGAGCTAATTGGATAGGATATATGGAAATTTTGGTTGTTTTTCAACTCCTTTTCTTATCATTATCTTAGTTACAACTGTAATTTTCATCACAATCTTGGTGATTGAGAAGTTTTCTTGTGTTACAAGACCTGCTGCTCCGTTGCAGGTCTGTTGGACTTGGCTATCTGGCCATGGTTTGAGCGCATGCCTCTTTTGCCGCTGGTGTTTCATCGCACTGCGCTCACTGCGAAGCAGGCCAACCTGGTCTGTCAAAAAACATGATGTCGTAATTTACGATGTTCATATTAATTGACGGCTGAAAGATAATGACCAATTCGTGATGCCAGAAGATATTGGCAACATTGGGCTAGATAGGTAACTTAGATGATTTAGAAGCATATGTTAGCTAGCGTTACCTGATTTGACTGGAAAGTTTGGTTTTCAATGTGTGATGCCCATGAAATATCAGTCGCTATTAAGTCATGGCATATGAAATGATGTTAATGGTAAAATCGTCATCTGAATGCTATTGCTATCTTTTGGAATTGCTATTCTAGTATTGTCTCTCGAAATGGCTGTCTAAACGAGTATTTTCGTATTCAATCAAGATTTTTAGGGCGTTCGTTATCTATCAGAGTTATTTTAAAGCTTGTTGTTACTGATTAATATTTTTACAGATGAAGTGGGTGTCGGCCATGGAAGAGGTACCGGCAGTCAAGGCTCTCATCATCCCTGCTGAAGAGCACGCAAAATTTAGGACAACATGTATGGCTGGCGAACCGGAGTATGACTTGGCGCTCAAGCCGAAAATATAAACCTAACCTATCCTCTCCGGCGAGCATGGACTCTCATTCCACATGGACTCTCTATGTAAATTATTATCTTTTGTTATGAAAATTAAAAAATAGCTTGCTCTGTCCTTATAATCACAACGATGGTTGGTAAAAAAATTCTCTACATTTTCCCATTTCTCCAATTATATAAATGATAATTTCTGGCAACCAAATCGTGTGTTCCGTAATGAATGAACACTTGCTCGCTCGGGCCTGAACATTTTTTCAGAAACTAGTGCCTTGAATGCTGCATTCAATCTCTTCTCTATTGTTAATTTCTAAAAATTATTTTGTATGACAATAACAAGGTATTTATAAAAATAACATATACTGTAGGTATTTATTTGAATTTTTTTATTAAATGAATAAGCAATTGTATTGATTAATATCCAAACTTCGGTTGCCATCGCTCTTGATGTGTTATTGCTCAGCACGATAACTTGCTTAATATCAGCTAATCAGTGCAGATAAACTCCGAGTGCAAGTCTAATCACATGGGTAGACAGTTTGTCAAGAGGTCGCTCAGCAGTCGTCAGCGTTTAGGTATTCATACCTTTCGAACTTTTTAAAACATTCGTCATATTGGTTTACCTAAGGTTTCTGATGAAACCTGATAGATTTCTTTTATGTAGATTTTAATTATTCCGTATTTTGTCGATTCTAATTTGTGTGGAGTTTCTATACACTAGCTTTAGGTCGTAAGTATACTAGCTTCCACCGTACAGCAATCCCTTGATTAGCACGGTTTTGAATACCGCGGAAAAAAAATTGCGACCTACCCTTAAACTACGCGGTGCCAGTTTTGATTAGCGCGACTTTTTTTCACAACGCATCATTTTCCTGCCTCTAGCCAGAGGTGTTATGTTCGTAACAAAAGTGTTACTTTTTGCTTATTAGATTTTATGTTGTTTCTTTTGTTACAACTTTTGGAAAAATTTGCCAAATGTTGTTACTTAATGAATTTCAGCCAATAATTCTATAAATAAGGTCTCGTTCCGTAGGCACTCGTGCTGACTACAGAGTCTGTTTAACCGCGCCTTGTCTTGTTCATAACTCGAATGGTCGAGTTCGGCAACGTTCGCCGGTAAGTGCGCCATGCCAGTGCTCTAGTTACTCGTTAGCCTTCAACTGGTCAAGATCGCTGCCATATCTACTGCTAGGGTGCTCACTTTTATCAAACTACATAATTTTCCTTGATAAATTACCGTCATAATTATGGACAAAAAGGGAACGCTTAAACGTAAAAATATCACTTTGGAGACTAAGCTTGAATGATGAATTGAACTAAGCAAAATATGATGAATTTTAGTGGAAAAAAAATTATTATGTAACTTTGCTATTTTTGAGGATTCATTATAATTATTCCCATATATTCTTAAGTTTGATTAGCGCAGTTTTGCTTAACACGGTAAAACTCGGGGATTTATTTACCGCGTGAATCAAGGGATTGCTGTACTGGTTTATAGTCGGTGGTGATCTGGTGGAAAGGCGGCTTGCATGGAAAAGGTGGACGCACAACATAACTGCCGGTTGACGCGACAAAGAGGGAATAATTCCGTGAATGCAAGAACATCCTGACAGAACTTGAAGCTGTTTGCAACTTCTGCATGTACCAAACTAATGTTTTGTCGTTTTCATTCATCCAAGGAAGTTGGGAATGTCTGGTATCGTTTACTGCATTTGCTCGCGGTTAATGAAAGATTGCGTCTTAGGAAATGTGTAATAATCGCACTAGTGACATCTCAAAAGAACAGACGTAATCATATGAAATTTTGTTACGATTTTAGATTTGTTTTCGTACTTCTAGTTGTTCCGAGAGATACTTTTAATGACCTTGTTGATCGTTGTAGACTGATAGATTTTATTGTTTAAGCTTGTTGGCTCATTTTTCTATGTACGGTGCTTTATGCTAGTCAATCAACTTGCAACTTGAAACATAGAAAATCTTTTTGCACCCTGTCTACATGAGACCTGACATAGAAATTTTTCTGTTGTCATAACGAACTTTCAGTTGAAACGTGGAAACTTGTGTGCCAAAGCTGAACTCTCAAATTGCTCATAAGAAAACATTTTACCAGCTATTGCAAAATATTTCACGCAGAAGTACATGCATCTTTAGGCATAGCTTCAATTAGAAGGTGCATTGCCAGTTTCAGATTCCGTGTTAATTTTGGGAAACGATTAACACCAAGACTTTGTAATTCTATTTTCATGGATACTTACATTAGTTATCACACACAATAAATAGTTTCATATTTTCGAATTACAAATCTGGACGAAATTATTGATCCTGACAACAGCTGGGCATCCTCAAATGGCATACTAAACTTTAATTTTTATCCTTCTAACAATTCCGCGCGTGGATCAACTTTTAATCCACTACAATTACCCTTATGCTCCCTACATTTGAGTCGCAACTCCCAGATGTGAATGAAGCTGAGAAATCTACCATTAATTCAGAATAAATCTGATCACATTAGTAAAAACAATAACTCAATTGCAACGTATGTAGTAAGCATCCGCAGAATACCTCATAAGACATTTCCGTCAGTAATTAATTCATGCTAGAATGTCATGGATATTATAAGAGTAATTAAGTTAATTGAAAATGTAGGGTGGTTACGGGTGCGAACCTGCCGTGCGACAGTCTTTTCATCAAGAGAAAAACGATTGTTCAACAGCTAACCCATGATGACGTTGAATATTATTTGTTGGGTAAGTTTTTATTGAAGATTTTTTTCATCAAATAGAAAACGAAGCTAGTTGAGAGTCCCAGAAATGGAGTGGAGCTTGCTAGTTAGAAGGCTACCCTCACTCTAAAGGCTGCCTTCTCGAAAATTCCCGCAGAAATCGTGAGTTCTGATGCCGTTAGTTTATTTTGAAATCCTCCCCTGGGCATTATTTGTTCGTACCAGAGCCTTCGCCACTCCAAAATTGGATCAATACTCCGCATTCCTACATCGTGCAAGTCCCAGCATAATCAGCCTCTGGCAATGGGCGCTTGGGCCTGCAGGGCCTGCGCTTGCAGTGCCTGAGCTTCCAAAAGCTGCTGCTGTTGCTGTGCAGCAGCGGCCGCAACTTGAGCCTGATGAGCCTTCTGTGCAAATGCTTGTAGCTCCTCAGCAGTTGGGTACTCGAGCTCTACACCCTCTTCGCACTCGAACTTGGGGCAGCAGGCAGGGAATGCCTGAGTGCGGTCACTCAAATTTACAACCTTGCACTTGGGGTTGTCCTTTGGTAAAATTCCGCAGTCGCGGACGCGTTCGATGAGATGGCGTCCGTCGGTGAGGCAAGTAGCGATGCCACAGAATGGCGACAGAGGCCATGATTCGCCGATTTTGTAGAACCTGAAGGTAGTTGAACCAAAGCAGACTCCGGGGAAGTCTGTAACGAAGTACAGAAGAGTTTACCAGCGAATACGGCTGCATTTATGTAAACGATTTCGTCCATATTACTCAATCAAGGTAGCGACCTTTCCAAAGTAATTTTTCGATGGAAGGTATGTTTAATTGAGGAACAAATATTATTAATAAACTGGTAACATTCTAATAATGATATATATATTTAGAGAGTAATGTCTTCTGTTTCGAATAATTTCTGTAAGATGAATAATCTGTCAGCATGCTGATAATGATACTGTTCAATGAAGCATAATAGCTAGGGAAATTACTAAGAAATATCTTAAGCTTTGTATTTTTGAAATTGACTGATGAGAAAGTCTGTTTGCGAAAGTTTCCGACTTATTGCGATGATGATAAGCTCGACAGTAAATCAGGCCTTCAGTTAACGGTCGTCGAATGGAATAGCTTCTTTGGCCAAAAGTTGGCAATAGTATACTGAACCTACTTCTACGTGAGTCAGGATAGCCGACTCTCTGGTTCCGAGACTATTGTTGCCTTTGTTTCTCACCGCGAAGCTGATCAGCTGGCAAATCTCTGACAGAAAAATCCCTCTCTGGCGTCTTGCCGGGCTGACCAGCGGGAGTCTTGGCTGGTCCGGACTTGGCAGCCTCCTGAGGTAGGGCCGTTACTGCCGCGGCCAACAACGCGATCGAGAGGATCAACTTCATCTTGGATCTGTAACAGGATGTTAGGTTGATCAATGATGAAATACTCTCCATATAACATGCGTTAAGTCGTGAAAATTACAACTAGTTATATTTGATACGTCTTTAACCTAACTCGGGGATGTATGAACTTTGTCTGCATTTCCGGAGACGGAGATACCGACCTCTGATCACAACCCATACGATGAATTCAACATCGACTTCTGAGCTCTTATACAACGATGGCAGAGTTATGGTTTCACCAGCTACTGCGCTGATCGCATTTGATGAAAAGATTTACTTCTGAGTTCATGTTTCTATTACTGCGAAGTTTTGATTCAAGGCCTTGACGTGGGCCACAAAATCCGAATTTAAAAAATATTTTAATATAAAAGTATCGAATTTGGCTACGAAGTTGAGCAAGAACACAGCGGCCGGCGCTTGTGTTGCAGTCACGCAGTGTACAGAACGCATTATATGCAACATCGTGTGCCTACACATGAGAAAATGATAAAAAAAAGGACGCGAGTACCACATTCATGTCGCTGGTTTCTGGAAAAATATCAAACATCCGGTGAACGGAACTAATTGGTTCTGTTAAATTTATACCTGGATTTATTCATAGAATTTTGAACATTGAAACGTTGAACGTTGAAATGAAACTTGCATAAGCCTCCGTTTGTTAAATTGTATGTTTCCTTGTCGCCGTTTGCACGTCTGTTTCGACCTGTGGCAATCATACGCCGTGTGCCAAACTTGATACGTGGCGAATACGAGCGATTGATTGCATGAGAAATTACGCAATATTTTCTGCGATAATTGAAGGAATTCGGCGTTGTGAAAACATCATACTCAGAAACTTGGATGCATGACAAATTGAATTATTTGACGTAATTTTTCTCGTTGGAGGAATTTTCTACAAATCCTCAAATAGAAAAATTTCTTCATAGCTCAAAAAATATCTTAACTAAACATTTTATTTAATGAATTTCCCAGCAGGAATTCCACTTCAACTTGCAATTTTGTGCAAAATATTTTCAATCAGCCATAATTTTTTTATACGTGCGAGTTCAAAAAAAAAAAAAAATAGAAATTAAGTATAATAGTTGACCAATGGAAACCAATCTTCTAAAGAAGAGTTAACTCAATTTCTTATCAAATTAATTGTTTTAAGTTCTCAAGTTTTTATTTCTATTAGAAACTAGAGCAAGAAGTGAACCGGCATTGCCACTTCCTACAACAAACAAGTTCTCGCAAAACTTTCTACGGCGGCCTCAATGTTCATAGCCGAGGCAGCGTGTCGCCGCGAAAATTATTTCGATTTTACAATTACGAACTTTTTTATTGTTCCTTTTTGGAATAACCTTGCAATAATTATCTCAAAATGAATTTTTTTCTTATAACGATCTAAATTTCATCATCTTATATCCGATTTTGATCAAACCGCCAGCCATCACAACCTGGTGACGTTTTCTGATGATTCAAAGTAACTGGTAAAACATTTGTATACGCCGAATTATTTCCGTTTTATTTGGCTTTTATAACTATTGGTTATTGATACTTGTTAACAATCTTAGATATGCAACATAATGAGAATAGTATACTAATTTTTCCAGTCCTCGTCCAATATCAGAAATCTATTTTGAGTTATAGTATAGTAGTATAGTATAGTATCTTCGGCATTGAAGAATAGGCCTGGATAGGCCTGTCGCCGATTCTTATTAGTTATATAAATTCTTGGTCAATTGAGGGTGAACAAAACATGAGGAAGCCTTAATCTCGAATCGTTATAAAAACTGAAGTTTCTGCTCTTCGGTCTTCTAATACTTCGTTTGACGAGGCCCGAATTTTCATTCCAGATTTCCGGCTTAAGAAAAAAGCTGTCAAGTGAGACCGAGCGCGACACAGAAAGTTGGCCCGCGAGAGGAGACCAAAACGTCGGAGCTTTAAATATCAGAGAAAGTTTATGATGCGGAAAATAAAAACGGACTTCGGCGCCGGTACACGGTGCTTGTGGAATCAGGAATTGAAATAAAAAAGAAATGAACCGCTGGCTTAGATGAAGAGGGAATCGACTGTGACCCCAGTATTGAGTTAGCAGGTCACGGTTTCAAGCACTAAGAATGTTGAAGTAAAACAATAATACATTCATATCGACGACATCTGTCGACGATATGAATGTAATGCCAAGTCATCATATCATCGATAATTATAGCTTTCGATGTATCTAAGTGTATGTAGTGTAATTTGAAGGCCTCTTGTCGAATTATAAATTAAAGGAGTTGAATATAATAGGAGCTCTCAGTTAAACTTATGTGTTATGTTAAACTTATGCACCAGCAGCAGGCGCAATAAGAACTCAACTCTCACGAATCTTATGATGCATGTATCTCTTAACATATCTGTGACTTCTACATAACTCAACAAACTACATTGCAAGATATACGGCACACTCATTATTCGAATAATGAGGTTATTTTAGCAAAATAGTATAGTAAGGCAGCTGCGTTTTAAAGCTGACAAATGTAAAGTAATCCACATTGGCAAAAATAATGAACAGCAAGATTACAGTATGAGAAGACACGGTTGCAACGACAGAGTGATGATATCGAAGTCGACAATGGTAAAAGATTTAGGAGTTAATATCGACAATGAGTTGAAATTTTCTAAGCATATTGAAGGTCAAGTTAATAAAGCCAATGAACGACTTTGACTGATCAGACGCTCTTTCGAGTTCCTAGATGCAGAAGCGATGAAGCAGTTGTTTGTTGCTGTCGTGCGCCCGAACCTAGAGTTTAGAAACGTCGTATGGTCACCGAAACTTGAACAGGCCAAAAATTAAATAGAGAGTTTTCAAAGACGTGCAACAAGGATAATTCCGGGCTTGAAAGGCAAGTTCTATGAGGAAAGATTAAAGATTATAAAGCTTCCAAGCCTCAGTTATCGACATCTGCGTGGGGAACTCATTGAAGCATACATGTATACTCATGGCTTATACAAGGTCCCAGAAGGATTACTATATAGAATTAGAATTTAAAACAAGAACCAACACCAGGGGCCACGGCTATAAAGTAAAAAACTGCGTTGTAACACATCCACGCGACAACATTTCTTCTCGCTTCGAGTCACCGACATGTGGAACAGCCTCCCTGATAGCATCGTTGAAGCTCCGAGTATGAACATCTTCAAAAACAGACTAGACGAAGCTATGCAGGAGCATATGTTCAGTCTTAAAATGCCTAGCAAATTACGGACCAGGCAATAAGTCCAGCAACTATCTCAATCAATCGTCAGTTATGGAAAGATCGGGTTCCAAAAGCCGGATCCCTTATGAATCAAGTCACGAAAAATTTAAAAATCGGCAACAGGCCATGGGCCTATTTATTTCTTCAGTGCCGACACTTCTATTCTATTCTATATGGATTGCCACCTTCTCCTTTGTCATTGACTTGTGTTACGCAAGGTTCCGTCTTGCAACCTCCATCTAATTAAGTAAAAGCTTTGAATTGACATTGGCGAGTGTTGCATGCGTGTTGTTTACATGAATGGCATTGTACACGTTTTCACGAACTATGTATGTATTGTTCATGAAATTCCGTAGCTATAAAAATGCGCAAGCATTTGTTTCATTTCAAATACTAATGTGGGACTTGTACGATTTCTTCATAAGAGCTTCTCACCATATATACGTCATGATATGAAATTCACGGCGTATTGATCAATATAATTTTTTATTGAACTAATTTTAATTTAACAGAAGTTCAGCTAGAACAAAAACAACTTTCTTGATGGAGGATGAGCCAATGTCTCTTAAAGAAATAATATGGATATATATTCAAATGCTATAGTAACCTATAACGTTATAATATTTGCGCGAATAACACAACCATCGTTTAGTATCAAGAAATTATTTAATTTTATCCTATATAATATAATGCGTAATATAATATGTCTCATTTTTAGCTCTATAAGTACAGGGCGTGTCACTCCTACAATGCCTATCACCACCGCCTTCAATAATACAATAAAATCATTAGGAACTCTCGCCGAGCAAACTGATGAAGCTAATGCCATCACGTAAAAAGTACATGCAAACTAAAATGATTGATCATATATACATTTTGAAGGGTCCGATTCACGGGTGGGATTGGCAATATCCTTCTTGCAACATCTGAAAACATTATGAAAATATATTTACAGCCTGGAACCACCGTCATGAACGTACCAGTAAGATTGCAGACCTCAGACAAGCACACACTGCCGCGTCCGTACACTGGTGGCAATTGGAATATTGCGGCAGCTGCCCCGCCTTATATAGCCGAGCTCGCGATGATCTCTACGTAATTTTCATTGACTACTTCTGTCATCTGAGCCCTAGCCCTCAAAATTATCAATTTTATTTTTTGCAAAACTTTGAATAAAAATTTAAATTTGAAATCTTTAATTAGCAGGTCATGTTAGTAAGCTGAATGGTGATGCACTTATCCGATGCTGGATCAGGTTTATCAGCGGACTTTGTCCCCCAGCTATCTAAATAAATTAATTATCACTGGCAAAGATGGCAAGCAGGTTGATTTGGATATTAAACGTTGCACGAGGAGCCGGTAATTTCCTTAGAAAACTTTCTCATTTTTTCAAAACTAGATCAGAGAAGAGGAAAATTGCGTGACATTATTTTTTTTAATAATAGGTTCTCAGATTCCTGTCAAATGTGTACTATGGAAAGGAAAATTACAGAGAAATATCAATGGAAGAATGGAGAGCTTTGACTCACATGAGTGAATATGTACTGCAACAAAACTGCTGGCGTATGCTACAGTACGCTTCTGTCTGAGCTGCGTTCTCAAAAATTTTTTTTCATATGTAAGCTCGAAAATTATATTAAGTTCATACAAATGGCTTGCAATTCGTCCGTTTTACTACGCGGATCCTAATTTAAAATCAGCAAATGGACAGATGTCGAAGTAAAAGTTGATAAAAATATCGAGTTTCAGTAGGCTCGTGGAAGCTGATCCGGTCCGGCGGATTAAATGAGAGCCCGAGGCAAGTGAGAACTGTTCTGCATCCGCACGCCGCCATTATAGGGCAGTGGGCCAGCGCTGAGTGCCAGCTAGGACCGGTGTAGCAGCGCCCCTAAATGCGGTCTCCAGCTCCGCTTCTTGCTGAGCGGGACACATGCATTGGCTCTGCTTGAGATACTCTAGATTATACTAGATACATTAGTTAAAAATAGATACCCTTAATGATACTAGATACCCTTAATGATACTAGATACCCTAAATGATACTAGATATCCTAAATGATACTAGATACCATAAATGATATTAGATACCAATAATGATGCTAGATACCCTAAATGATACTAGATACCCTAAATGATACTAGATACCATTAATGATATTAGATACCATTAATGATACTAGATACCCTAAATGATACAAGATACCCTAAATGGTAAAAGATACCCTAAATGTTAGGTTGCCACTTCGACAATGATATACTTGTATTACTCGTTCCCGCTAAGCTTTTTAGCGGTAAAGCCTGGATGATGGCGTACGTGGGAAGTTGTTGGAAATATGGCTTGATGGCATGAATTATGGCAACAATTAAAGCTGCATAAGTTATAGAATTATTGGATATAATTGTCAGATATGTATACTTTTTATTATTAACGGGTGTAAGATATACGTACTGCCGACCTAACCCGTGTTCACTAATCACCACAGTTTAAATCGACTTATGCAAATGGCTGATGAGCTTACGGCAACACACTGCAAGAGTAGCAGACGATTCAATTTCATAACAAGACTCCTAGAAATTTTAGTTGTACTCGCAATTTCTCATGCTATGTGAACTTAATTCAAATGAAAAAATTTTAGGCATAAAATGCAGTGTAATTGAATTAAAATGAGTGCTAATCTGTTAAGTTATAATTGAAGGTGATTCTTAGGGTAATTGAAACAGCTTTCGAATAATTATTCTAACCTTTAAAATAATTAGAACGACATTTAAAATGATGAAATCGAATTTCAAAATATTTATATAGTACACTACGCACACCTTTAAAGAAGTGATGTGTACGAAGTGGACGTTCACATTTCTGCTGCTGCTCTATCAACGCCGTGAGGGCCATGGTTGAATTAATATTGAATTGAATTAATATTGGTTGAATTAATACATAATTAATATTGGTATTTTTATTGGTAATTAAAATAAATAATTAATATTGGTTGAATTAATTTTGCTGGAATTAATATTAATTCAACGCCGTGATGGTCATCTCACCACGCCGCACTCCGTTCATCGCTTGCAGCGTTCCATGCGCTGCACCTGCGCCAAGGTTGTGCGCATGCGCCTTGCTTCATTGCATGCGGTTCGTGTTCATATTATCTGGCCATGAATTATGTTATGCTTTGCGATACGCATAAACACGCGGGATACGACCGCCACTTCAGCTGTCGCAGTCAGCAATGCCAGCATGAGCTGTGGTGGCAAGATCGTTTATTACACTGGGATTTATATTCAAGTTTCTTGACCCTTAATTGTGAGTTCTTTGCAGCCTCACGATGACTTTTAATAAAAATTTCACATTTCACAGGTTTTTTTGTGACTGCATTAAGTGATGACTATCAAAGCCCTACTAGATCGTTTTTAAATTTGATTTCTACGGCATATTTATATACTAAATTTTATCAGCCATCGAGTCTCAGTTCATTAACTGCTTTAAGGTCAAGCATTTTTTGACCGTCATAGGACAGCTCAAGTACATTTTTTTTACATTTTCGCCAAAAAAATAGTTCCACTCTCAACTTCCTTGCGTTTATTTTTCGCATCAACAATCCGCACAGATTCTTTGCATTAATCTTTTCCCGTGCCGGTTTCTGCATGGAATGAACCGGCGACTCGCTGCCATGGCTCGCTGCTCTCGCTCAACGATGAAAGCACCCATGCAAGGCATGTTTTTGTTCCGACTCATGTTGTTGAGTCATGACCCGCAGGCTTGTTCAGCTGCAGCTGCTGCTGGCATTCACTCAGGCTGAAACAGATTTCACCGCAATCAGTCTCGTCGCACTCACGTCAAGTTAAATAACGGCTCCGGTTTGTCCGCTCCAGAGTAATGTGGCGCACAAATCATGGCTGACGCATAATATTATATTTCAGAGTTATGTTCAGACCGCTAGCCGCCGGGTAAGCTATGATCTAATTAATTACATATTAATCAATGTTGAGGGTGTTTGAGGTCCTTAGAACCATGGGTATTTTTACGCTCAGCCCTGTGGTCGCTTGGCTGGAGCCTTATGTTATGACAAAACATGAACTCCTAAAACTCCGTAGCTGGAATGACGTTAATTACGCAAATTCAATTGAAATGTGGATTTATTAGATATGTCTTTCTAGCTGAATAACACTCAACCAAAGAACAATTACCTGCCATATTTTCCGTACTTACATTTACAAGGCTGTAACCGAACGCAATGGGATGCGTCACGTATTCTTAATACGAAAGTTAAGGGATACGATGCAGTGTGTCCTTCCAACGCAACATAGGACATGGGATGCGCAGTACGTGTGTCCTTCCAACGCAACATAGGACATGGGATACGATGCAGTGTGTCCTTCCAATGCAACATAGGACATGGGATACGAAGTCCGTGTCTCCTTCCAGTATAACATAGCACAAGGGATGCGCGGTGTTCCCTTTCAATACATCATAATTACTCCTTCATGTAACGAATTTATCCAAAAAACGATGGCAACAGATTTTCTTCATGTCATTCACTCGTAATGCTGCACCGCGATCAGCCGCGCCACATTAATTTTCGTAACTTTTGAAATTTATTGTTAAAGTTGGTGATTTGATTCTTAAAATTTTTTACTCTTGTCGGTAATTTTACGATGATCGTTGCTTTGAGAACCTTGTAGGTCAATTGGTTGAATAAATCTTACTAGTCAATGGTTTAAAATTTGACGATTCATTAATAAGCGAGTTCGGCGTACAAAGGTCTTACCTGTTTTTTCTGACTACTGCTCATATCCGGCTGTAGCTGGTACCATATTAGATCGAGCTGGTCATTCCGGTAGAGCTGGTCTCTCACTAGTTCGAAGTGATCATCCAGCTGGAGCTGGCCTCACATTAAATCGAGCTGGTCATCCAGCTGGAGCTGGCCTTACATTAGATCGAGTTGGCCATCCAGATGGAGCTGGCCTCACATAAGACCGAGCTGGTCTCTCAATAAATGAAGCCAGACGTACAATATGGAGGTGTACAATGGTATATTTATACACACATAGTTTATTCTATCGGCCTGCACTGACCCACGACTCCTTATATACCATCCTGTAATGGATGAACTCGTTCTTAGTGTGACCTAATATGAAGTCTTTGCACTTCGAGTCTTAGGAGTCATTTCGAGTCTTAGGAGTCTTAGGAGTCTTAGGAGTCATTTCGAGATATAGGATATAATTGGTCGTACCGAACCCTAAATCTTTATATGGTTTCTATATATCTTTAAACTAATCTGCTTAATCGTTTATCATGTCTTCTCAACTTTCGACCTGCACTCTGTTATTTTCGACCTGGATCTTATAATTATTGATCTTGAATCTAAAATTATTAATCGCTTTTCGGGAACTGTTGATGTGAAATTCATCATGTTTGGGGCTACTTAAATTATATTGAGTTTGAAATAACATTTATTCAACTGCTTAGTGGCATTCTGTCAACTGTAATTAAATCTAAATGTTCTGTCCATATGACGATCTGTCCATATGACGATCTGTCCACATGACGATCTGTCCATATGACGATCTGTCCATATGACGATCTGTCCATATGACGATCTGCTGTCCACATGAAGATCTGTACATATGATGATCTTTCCATATGACAATCTGTACATATGACGATCTGTCTATATGATAATCTGTACTTATGATGATCTGTCCATATGACGATCTGTCCATATGACGATCTGTCCACATGACGATCTGTCCATATGACGATCTGTCCATATGACGATCTGTCCATATGACGATCTGTCCATATACGATCTGTCCACATGATGATCTGTCCATATGACGATCTGTCCATATGACGGTCTGTCCATAAGACGATCTATCCATATGATGATCTGTCCATATGACGATCTGCTGTCCACATGAAGATCTGTACATATGATGATCTTTCCATATGACAATCTGTACATATGACGATCTGTCTATATGATAATCTGTACTTATGATGATCTGTCCATATGACGATCTGTCCATATGAAGATCTGTACAAATGATGATCTTTCCATATGACAATCTGTCCATATGACGATCTGTTCATATGACGATCTGTCCATATGACGATCTGTCCATATGACGATCTGTCCATATAACGATCTATCCATATGAGATCACCAACAACAATTATTTGATGACGTACAGCTACAATACAACAGATTTTCCATCACGTTGTGGTTGCAGAAAATAATTAAGCTCTCACCTATCCATACGATAGTATCGTCACCAATCAGACTGGAAATGCAACCTCTATAAATGATTGTGGTAGCACATACGACGCCGTTTTCACGAGGAGGAATCGAGCTCGAGCCTCTACCTTCAAAAATAATTTCAGTATCGAATAGCGGCATGCCAATTAAAAATGATTTGGTAAATTACTCTCGCGTATTACCTCGTTGAAGACGGAATAAAGATCATCTTGGTGGCCCGGTGGTTAAAGTTCAGAGTAAAGATTGGCGCAGAGAGGCGCGGGTTCGATCCCAGCTCTGTGCGCCAGTTTATGGTCAGAATCGGCGAGGAGGCCGGGCGGTTAACAGCAGAATTGGAGCAGCAAGTTGCGAGTTCGAGACTGCAAAATGCTTTGAAATTTCTGCGATGTTAAACGTACTTGCTGCCGCTGAGAAAGAATCTTATCCAGACGCCATCGTGACTGTCAGCGGAGTAATCATTAAGAATCGGCGATAGGCCTATGGCCTAATAAACGGTGAAACCGCTATTAATATTATTATCTTAAAGACTCACGAGCGCCGTTAATGTTTGTGGACCACACTGAACAGCGAAGCTTCAGATCAGGACGTAGCAGTAAAACGCGATGAAAAACACATACTTTATTATAAAACTTTGGTCATGCCATCGAAGATATCACGATTTATTAATAAATGGACATATTAGAACGATAATAAGGTAATTTTTCGTTATTTACTAGCAATGATTTTCCGATAAAGCTTTTATTTAATTTTGAGAGCATTGTTATTAATTTGAGCAGAAAAAACTTGATGAATTGTGATCGGACGCATAACATAATCGTATGCTTCTTTAATTTGCGCCGAATTTCACCCTGAATTCTCTGTCTGTGAATAATTTGTTCCGAATATATCTTGAATCACACATATTCCAAAGAAAGACTAGGCAGAAGTCTGTTTATCCTCTTAAATTAAGCAGCTTCGACTTTTTGTGGTACTTCTTTAGCAGCGGGTTTGGCAGGAGGCTTAGCCACGTCCTTACTGGCGGCGTCTTCAGTAGTTGCCACGTCAGTTTGATCCTCTTCAGTAGGTATCACGTCAGTCTTGTCAGCGGAGACTCTGGCTGACTGTTGGACCTCTTCACCCTCAACGTCCTCCTCGTATTGCGCCCTGACGGCGGCCTGGGCAGCCTCATGAGCGAGTTGCTGCAGCTCCTCCTGTGTCGGGTATTCCAACTCAACGCCTTCCTCACACTCAAACTTGGGGCAGCAGCCGGGGAAGGGATGGTCGGTTTTGAGGTTAACGTTCTTACATCTGGGGTTACGCAGGGGTTGAGGTCCACAGTCCTGGACCCTCTCCATGAGGTGGAAGCCGTCCCGACTAACGAGGCAAGTCGCGACCCCGCAAAAAGGGGTCAGGGACCACGACTGACCCACCTGGAACAAGCGCAGAGCCGTCGACCCGAAGCAGAGACCCGGGAAATCTGTCAGAGGAAAGAATTAATTTTATTAAAGAATTCATGAAAAAAATGTTTATCAATGAAAATTGTTCACAAATGAGTGTTATTCATTCAAACAATGCAGTCATTCCAGTGTAAAAATTATTATTTTTAAAATGTAGTGTTAATGTTTTCAGTGGATTGGGACGTATCAGGGAAGCAAAAAATGTAGATCTATTTTATTATCATTAATATTTTAATCCTCTATTTAACTGTTGTGATTGTATTATCTTACTCTGGATTATAGCTCGCCATATTCCTAGCTTTACCAAATGTGATTTAAAATGCCAGTTGACTGGTTTGATATTTACATTATGTTAACCTTTGTTATTATTTAGTTAACTGACCTCTGAGTACATCAGCAGGCAGATCTCTGAAGGGGTATTGCACAGGCGTGCCTTCTTCGTCTGCAGCTGCTGCATCTGTGACCTCATCAGCTGCTGCATCAGCTGCAGGCGACGAATCTTCGATGTCAGTTACTGCGCTCGCATTTTTGGCATCTGCTAACAGGATAAAAAATTAAAAATTTTGTCAGTTTGGATAAAATTGTAGAGAATCATTTCAGATGAGCTTTTGCTTGACATGCAACCTTACTATATCGGTGAAAACGAACTATTAACTGCATTACTTTCCCATATTTTTGGCCATTTTTTCCCTATATTTTTGGCCATTCAAATTGTTAATCGGGTAACATTTGACTCGCTACGAAGTAATATTTTTTCCATTGGCTTCATAATATTCATTTGAGTTGATGAAAGAATTAGGATTAATTAATTTCAGTCAATTTTCATAAATGTATGTATTATCAATTGTACATTCTGCACGGATTGCCTGTAACATATACGGATAATACAATCTATACAGTCTGTGTAAACCTATAATTTTCGAGATGTCGCTTTCTCGAGCCACCGACTCACTGAAGTGATTAAAATATCGGATGTTGATAACCTACCTCGCTCTAGAGTCTAGACCATAGGAAAACAAAGATAAAACATGCCTACAAAAATATCATTTTGCTTGTTAATTTAAACGTTATTCAAGAAACTGGAATAATTTGAACATTGATGAACTTATCGTGTCATGGGGCGTTAGTGGCCTTACAAATTGTGGCAGTCAAAATAAAAACCTACAAATAAAATTTCTAAATGATTTACTGTTCACAAGGTAATAATGTGGGTAAAAAGTATACCTGATTATTTATTGAACCCCTCATCAAGACCGTTTGTCTCTGACCGTAAATGAATTAATGACTTTTGAGCAAGCGCAACTACTGCCGCTACGCTATAACATCAGTCGCCAGATGCTGTGTCATAATCTTAATCTCGAGTCATATATCTTGGTCGAGATTCAACGCCTTCTATCGCTCACCATGTATACGTCTATCATTGGTCAAGATTTCAATGTCATTCATCGGTGAAATTATCATCGCCTTTCATCAGTTAATATTTCAACGCCGATCATCGGCCGAAATTTAAACGTCCATCATCAGTCAAGATTTTAACGTCTATTATCGGCGAGGATTTCAGCAATAAATGAAATTCATAATTAATAATTATAATTAATAATAATAATTTACTAACAACTCAGAGTTTGTGTTCACCGTAAGGACAGTTGTGCGTGTGGTTGCTGTTCGTCAGCAGCCAGTAACAGCTGTAGGGTTGACTAACCTTGTACAGCTGCAGCAGTGGCCGCAGTCTGCGCGCGTGCGGTGACCGCCGAGACAGTGAAGAGCAGCAGCAGCGCGCAGGCTGTCACAGACGACATGGCCAGCTTCACCTGCACAAACAACAGCAAGTTTAATATCTGTTTGTAATCTCTGGGTTAAATATCTCTGTAAATATGAGTAAAATTGAAACGAAGGGCTTCGTATGAAGTGATGAGTGCTTGGTGTGAAGTGATGGGTGCTTAATGTGAAGTGATGGGGGCTTCGTAAGAAGTGATGGGTGCTTGGTATTAAGTGATGGGGGCTTCGTAAGAAGTGATGGGTGCCTGGTATGAAGTGATGGGTGCTTCGTAAGAAGTGATAGGTGCATGGTATTAAGTGATGGGGGCTTGGTATTAAGTGATGGGTGCCTGGTATTAAGTGATTTGTGCTTCGTATTAAGTGATGGGTGCATGGTATGAAGTGATGGGTGCATGGTATGAAGTGATGGGTGCATGGTATGAAGTGATGGATGCTAGGAATGAAGTGATGGGTGCTTGGTATGAAGTGATGGGTGCCTGGTATGAAGTGATGGGTGCCTGGTATGAAGTGATGGGTGCCTGGTATGAAGTGATGGGTGCAGTGTATGAAGTGATGTGTACTGGTGTGAAGTGATGGGTTCACGCCCTCCATATGTCACGCTCGCACGGACTAAGATGGTTGACCTCCGTCTGCCGTTCCTTGTGACCTCCTCTTGCACCACGCGACGCCTGGTGTCGACATGTAACAACCATTTGTTCTGGCTATTTAGTGTCCACTGTTATTTTAATTATGAAACTTGCACTAAACATTTGTTCTGGATGCGTGGTTTTTATTATTCCTTTCATTATAAAACTAGCAATAAATATTTGTTCTTTCGACGAAATTGATTATCATTGAAAAAACCTAAAATGATCACGATAATTTTGTGAAAGCACGATCATTATCATATTTCATTGATTTTTTATAATATTGATCGGTTGATAAAATTTTTTGTTCGCATCCTCTTTTCACAACGACGTTTTGTTCATCTAGGACAATCTTCACGGTGTCTTCATCCATGACATCGTTTCTCAATCAATCAATCAATCATTATATGATGGCTCATTAATCATTATTTCTTAATGAGCATTAATTACTCTAAGATGGAACTCGTAAACCTGTAAACGCTATTGAGAAACATTATTTTATGTATTAATTAAAAACTCTGCATCAAACTGACGGAGGATTTCTCCATGTCTTCATTATACGTCATGCATCCCAAATGGAACGTATAAATAAAGTACGATTTCTCTCCGGTTTATCGGTTCTAGAAAGCCGTGTTTTTAGGCCAATATTGCACAGCTCACATGTACAGATCAGGAAATTTCTCCCGTATATCTGCTCCACTGAATATCAAGGTAGGCGTGAGGCTACTGGCTCGTGGTATGTGTATCGCACAGAAGGCTAAACTGAGATAGATCTATGATGCGTATCAAATTAATTTATCCATTTTAAAGAGGTATAAGGTATAATTTGAATTTATTTCATTTATATTTCAAATTAAGGTATGTCCCTATTAAATTCTTGTATCAAATTAACGTATTATTTATACAGACACGTATCATTGCCAAACAGATTACTCCAAAGAATTAATCGCCACGTCCCACTCGTATATCTGCTAGAGATTTACATGCCGGTACAGTCTGTACTCTATAGTTTCTTCACAGGCGCTCGACAGAAAGTCACGTTCTCTGTATTGTGCTCTAGATTTCGTGTGAAAAAAAGGTTTATATATAACAGAAGGCTACACTGAAGTCACGTATAACAGAGACCTACACTGAAGCTAAATAGTTCAGAAGGATACACTAAAGCTACGTATAACAGAAGGCTACATTGAAGTCCCGTATAACAGAAGGCTACATTGAAACTTCGTATGACAGAAGGCTACACTGAAGCTACGTATAACAGAAGGTTACACTGAAGCTTCGTATAACAGAAGGCTACACTGAAGCTAAATAGTTCAGAAGGATACACTGAAGCTACGTATAACAGAAGGTTACACTGAAGCTTCGTATAACAGGCTACACTGATCGTATAACAGAAGGCTACACTGAAGCTAAATAGTTCAGAAGGATACACTGAAGCTACGTATAACAGAAGGTTACACTGAAGCTTCGTATAACAGGCTACACTGAAGTCACGTATAACAGAAGGCCATACTGAAGCTACGTATAAGAGAAGGCTACACTAAGGCTACGTATAACAGAAGGCTATATTGCAACTTCGTATAAAAGAAGGCTACACTGAAGTCACGTACAACAGAAGGCTATACTGAAGTCACGTATAATGAGTTGGCTGTGGCGCGCACTACCGCCTCTGTTTAGCTCACGTGTCGCAATCTCGACGCATGGAGCGAAAATGTGACGCGTAGATCTTTATCTCCCGGCATTGAAGTCCTCGAAACACACGAGAAACTTTGATGATGAATGTTACATTTTCTTCGCCGAGCTAAAATCATGACAATCTCTTTTCCATGCGTGACTTATTTTGCAATGCTTGGTGCATTCAACTGTTCGGTTTCAACTGACAATAGCTTTATTTCGATGAAAGTTTGATTGAAAAAATTAGAAAAAATCTAAGTTTTAACCGGCGATATTCCATTCAGTGTGCTTATACAGGGTGAACCAGAATTAACTGACCCTTTCAATTTGTTAATAAATAAAAATCTAAGAACGTTATGAAGTTGAAACTAGTTTTATTTAAAAGAAGAACATTTTTATTGTAATATTGTATCCTAGTTTTTAGGATACAATAACTAACTAGGATACAATATTACATACAATATTTTAACTAATACATATTATTAATACATATGTAATAAATATTTTAACTAATACAATAATAAAATATTGTAATAGGATACAATATTTTAACTAGGATACAATATTACCATAAAAATGTTCTTCTTTTAAATAAAACAAGTTTCAACTTCATAACGTTCTTAGTTTTTTATTTATTAACAAATTAAAAGGGTCAGTTAATTCTGGTTCACCCTGTATATACCAATTGGAGACAGATGTTTCTAACATGAAGAAAATAATACGTAGTTCTTAAATATAATAAATATAATAATATTTATTGAATATTAAATAATAATAATACATTTCCATAATACATTTCCATAAAATAAGTGGGAATGTGTGACAGTTACTCGGGGGAGTATCAAGATTATCGCATAAAAACATCCATTGTCTAAAGAATGTCGGCGATAGGCAATATACGCAATTTTTTATGAATATTCTTAGTGGCAGACGAGCAAGAACCAATCAAGTCAACGAGCCCTTAAGCTCCACGTGTCATGTCTCCAGCACCTCCTGCTCGGTAAAAGTAAATTGAAAAGCGTGCAGCAGATCGTGAAAGTAAAGCCATGCAAGTAAGAACCTCGTCAGTGAAAGGTCCCATTGTATGTCGATGGTTTGGCGGCTGTCGGCACTCCAGCCTGCCTGAAAAAATGGCCTCGTCATTTTATTGTTGAAAATGAAACGCATTTCCGAGAATTTTGTACTGACGCCAGTGAGCGTTAATTAAGTGAGTATTTTGTACGTAAGTCAGTAAGCATTAAGGGAGTATTTTGTATAAGTCAGTAGGCGTTAAGGGTGGTATTTTGTTCGAAAGTCAGTAAGCGTTAAGGGAGTATTTTGTACGTAACGCAGTATGCACTTGGGAGTGTTTTGCACGTAAAACAGTATGCATTTGTGAGTAATTTATGCGTACGCCAGTAAGCGTTTAGTATGCATTAAGAAGTGAGCGTTTAGTATTATGCATCAAGGAAGTACTTCACCTCGGCAAGAACAATGAACAGCAAGCTTACAGCATGAGAAGACATGGTTGCAATGAGAGGGTTATATATGATTGAGAAGTCTTGCGTGGAAAAAGATCTTGGAGTTTGTTTCGACAAAGAGCTAAACTTTTCTAGGCATACTGAAACGCAAGTTAATAAATCCAATAAAGTGCTTTGCTGATCAGACGCTCCTACGAGTAAATAGATGTAGAAATGATGCAGCTGTTGTTCACCTCTGTCGTGCGCCCGAACCTGGTGTTTGGAAACGTTGTGTGGTCACCGAGACTTGAAAAGGACAAAAATTTAATCGAGAGTGTTCAAAGACGTGCAACAATGATAATTCCAGGCTTAAAGGGCAAGTCTCATTGTTTGTACAATGTTCCAGAAGGATTACTAGAATTTGAAACAAGAACCAACACCAGAGGCCACAGCTATAAACTAAAAAACTGCGGCGCAACTCATCCATGCGACAGCACTTCTCGCTTCGAGTCACCGACATGTGGAACAGCCTCCCCGATGACATCGCTGACGCTCCGAGTATGAACGCGTTCAAGAACAGACTAGACAAGCCATGTAGGAGCATATGTTTAGTCTTGAAATGCCTAGAACAACTGAAATGCCTAGAACAACAACTACAGAACAACTGAATTTTTAGAAACGGTTTTAAACCTACCGTCCGTTGAAAAGATTTGATCAAAAGGCCAGTCTTTTATATTTGTGAACTGGTCAAGAAAAGTACAAAAATCGACGACAGGCCTATCCAGGCCTATTCTTCAACGCCGAAGATACTATACTATACTATACGATACTATTCTAACTATAAACATTAGGGAGTAAGCGAGTGTTAATTATTTACATTAAGGAGAAAACAATAAAAAGGAATGCACAAATGATTAGATATTAACGATTCAAGATTAAGCAGCATGCATTAAGAAGTATGCATTAGGAAGTGTGCATCCACATGAGTTACTGTAGTGTTAGAATTCCGAATCCACGTGAGTATGTTGCAGTATTAGGGTTCTGAATTATATTATTATTTTAATGAACATTTCTTTCTGGAATTTTTACCTTACAGATAATCGTGTGATCGCTCACGTCCGCACCTCAGGAACCCTAGGTTAGTTGCGGTCTGTTGCGGAGTCGTGGCATGCAGAGGTACGCGTTTTGTGTTAGTGTAGGATTTTAGGTGTGACTTTCATGTGTAAATATTACTGAGAATAAACATAATGTATATATTGTTACCGATCAGGCAATTTTGTTCAGCATACTATTGAGTAGGTTTTCATCTCGAAAAAAGTTTAGAACTTGTATTTTAAACTTGGAATAGTAAATTCTGACTACAGTGGATTTTAAACTCCCCTTGGAAATAAATAAGGATGGGATTGAGGGATGACCATGAGCCGTACATGATCGCGTTGGTGCTTGAGCCCAGTTGCTTCGGGTATGAGCTCACAGCAATAGGTAGTATTTACAGCTGTACTTTTCAAGCGAGTAACGAATGAATCAATTATTTCCAATTAATTGTTATTATCTTCCAGTTTTATTCAGTCTGTGGAATGCTTTATATTCTTAGGGCATGGATGTTTTGGATTGAATTAAGACTGATTGCATATTGTATGTTCAGTGAATTTCAGCGTTTTTCTCCTTTTGCTGAGACCGCAGCAGTGCAGATTAAAGAAGAGTTTAGAAAGTCCCGCGTCCCGCGAAATGAACCGCATGGGACTGGCCTACAAGCGCCCGGCCTAAATGCAAACAGGTTCCAGCCAGTCTCATAGCCACAAACGCCATTTTTGTCCTAGAAAACCTAACGGCACTGTACAGGATTGGAAACACGACGAACGTTGCTACTAAACATCATTTGAAATGTGTTGATGCCGCTATAACATTACCTGGCTTCAGTGCATCAACATCAAGCATTTTAACTTGTGTAAATTGCGGTTCGTGAGAGCAGCTTCAAAGCTGGGCGCTTTTCCCAAAACATTCCCAGCTAATACAGTGAAACTCAGACAACACAACTAAATTATAGGAGCGCGAATTGTATGAAACTATGCAGATTATAGTAAAAATAAACGTGTACCTACTATTTTATATTGGTATTTTATAAACGTGTACCTACCAATGAACTATGTATAATGTAGCATAATTTTTTGATAAAGATTCAGCTTAAACAATCAATATCCAGCACAAAAATATTGGCACATTGCATGGGAATTAATTAGGTCTAAAAATCAGAAAAAGAATTTTTACATTTAAATTATCTGCAAAACGTGACGTCTCGATTCAAGAATATTTCTCAATATTGTTTACCATTGTAAATGAAAGAAGGTCAAACTGCGGAGCTCCTTGTACGGAGTAGCGCCTCCCAGCGTTGCACTCTCTCAAGTAACGGAGTTGAGGGTGCGCCACTTGTATTTATAGGCGCTGGCGAGAGCAGCGCTGCATTGAAGCTCTTGACCTGCTGCTTCAGGAGCTGGTTGAGAACTTGCATCCTCTAGGACGCCATTCAAGTCTGACATATGAGCTTAATAAATGAAAGAAATCAGGATTGGGATAATTTGAGACACCATGTTACTAGGAACATTTTATTTTAATATTTTACCAATAACGTAAATTAATGGTTATGCAAGATTGTAACTTGTGGTCGATAGTCTGTTTATGAGATACCACAATAAATATCGTTTCCTTTAGCGTAGACCATATTCTACTGAATAGGTTGGAGTCATATATATGGATAATATATACGTAGGTAATATAACATAATAGGGGTTTCAGCGTTCATTAGGCCGTAGGTCTGTCGACGATTCTTAACATCGCAGTACATTCACAGTTTTGCTTAACCGCCCGGCCTCCTCGCCGATTCTGACAAGAAACTGTCGCACAAAGCTGGGATCGAACCCGCACTTCACAATATAATGTGATAGTTTGAACTGTAGCTACTCGGCCACCCTGCCCAGTTAATCCTAAATAGTGCGATATTTATTGCAATTATATATTATGATCGTAAGAAATTTCCAGAATACAGCTCACCGGAATAGATTAAAATAAATGTTCACCCTGCGTAAGTGGATCACACAGATACAAGGAATGTGATATACACAAGACCTATTAAACGTGTAGCCAGTAAACTCGTATCTAAGTCATCACTGTTGATATAGTCAATGAAATTACCAGCATGTGTGCCTAATCCTGTTGTGTATGGCTCGGCTTGTCACATATCTTGAAGTCCCACTCCTCTTAGGAGTTTCCGTAAACGCCAAAGAACCAACGTGTACACTAATATTCTACTTTTTAAAAGCCGGATTTCTTGTCCGGAGACGAGGCTCACTAGCCCTGCAGGTCCATGGTATCCGTGAATTTTGTATGCAGTGCAGCCGGTGACACGCATATCAGCTTCCGCATGAAAATCCAACATATTGGGCAAGATTCTATAGGGGCAGTGATCCCAACTATACGACATTGCGACCTATTTATTTAACTGTAAATTAAGTTGTTATGCAACCAACACAAAGACAAAACATTTTAACCTGTTTACTTAACACTATATTAACTAGCAGCGCTACTAATGATACGACCTACTTATTAATGTATGAGGTCAGCTGAATGAATCATCACAAAACGACTGAACTGGAAAGCAAAAATAACAAAATGTGTTATTTTTTGCCAAAACTATAACACGATACTTTCCACTGAGATATGTTTTTTGTGATGATTAATATTTTTGCACCGTAGTAATAGCTCGTGGTGACCTCAGCTTTAATTGCTCTCCTTCATTATTAATTGATCACGGAAGCTTTTCTAGATGAAAGTACAATGTTTTGCTCAACAATTTACTGTGATAAAAAGAAGGCAATTCCTAACGCGTACAGGATATCCGAGGTGCGAGACGATGTGTAGCAGCTCCCGTAGAAAAACGATCAGTCACAAGTCATAAATAGATGACTTTTAAATATATAAACCTGAACTTCAATACGTGCACATTATTCAAAAAGTTATAATAATAAACAAGTGAGATTACGTATTAATTATGCCAGTGAAGCATTATAAAATGAAGTTTGTTTGTACATGTTCTGTGCAGCAAAGCTTACTGTATCAGCACCAGGAGGTTGTTCGGAATCAAAAATTTTTATATACGTGATCCAGACGACTGGTAATGCAGTAGTTTTAGACCTGAGATACAGTTGCTCACCGCAGCACGGTACGCAGAGAATACGTTTTTATTGACTCGCCAAAGCTCAGTTTATTTGCACACGAACGCAGCAAGATCGTCGATAGCTTCGTGTGCGTGCATTGAGCATGCCTCAACCATGGAGTGTACCTACAGACACGCGCTCCCGCAAATATACAAACAAAGTAGAGAGCAGAGCAGAAAATAAACTTTTCAGCTTCGCTGTCCCGTACCAAGCATATGTTGTGTGTTTTTTCGCATGCCCGCAAAACATTAATTTAGAAATGCATCGATGAGTATTGATGTGATTCTATAGACATGCGTACAAGATGCAGGCAAAGTAAGTTCTTAACTCAGTTTCCTCTAAGGTTCAATTCAAAGGGTAGAAATATTGCAGTTAATATTATTTGTGATAGCAAATGTTTGAAAGATCATTAACCCGCTGATTTATTTTTATTTAGAAGTCATTTAGGATTAGTATTTCAAGTACAAGTGAAATGTTAAATCTTGCACAGTCATCTCTTGCACGGAGTAGCGTCGCGCACAAGACGTCGTCTCTTAAACGCCCGTCACGTATACGCTACACGCAAGGACATGCATGCATCGCTTCGTGCTTCTTCGTGAGCGAAGCAACTCCATGGCTAACCAGTTGATATTGAATTAAAATTACATTATCCCACTTTATTTGTAAGCGAGTGGTAAACTGGTGCGGAGGATCAAGGCATATGCGCTCCAGTTTGCTTTGTTGTCTTCTAGCTGCAAAGGATGTGGACGAACTGCTCCTTGCAACACCGTGTTTAAAACATTTCGACCTTCGAGGGTTCCGTCTTGAGCAAGAGTTTGCTACACGACCGACTAAGCAGCGTGATGAGCTTAATGAGGGCTGACTTCAATTTAGGAACGTATTTGTTTTTCTATACGATTTCCAAGAACGTTGCGGAATTTTTCATGGATAGACGAAAGGTCGAAAACGATTACAGCTTTAAATAGAGTAGGTAACGTTACTCCATCTCATCAATTACACATGAGATGGCCAGCAAGTGTTGCTCCTTTCTATTCAGAAAATCAACCTCTTTCATAAATATGCAGCAACTGCGCCTCCACTTCATTAAAAAACATTGTCGTGTTCCGTGCCTCTACCAACCGGCGTTCTGGAAAGCGGGAAACCCGCGTCAGCTTGGCCTCGCACCCTGCCTTGGTATAGCGGCAGAGAAAGCCACAGCAATTATGCCAACGCCAGGAAACTGCGTGACGTAACCGCGTGATCGTCACACTTGTTCTGCAGGAGAATGTTGCTTTCCAGGGGACCTAAAGAGGTTTCAGGACGTTTATGGATAACAATGAGACACCAGGAGGGATTAATATAGAGAACGTCAATAGGAACTGAATCAATGTTCAAATCCTCACGCATGCATTGAAATTTTATTCAGCGATTAAGTGATGGATGCCATGATTGCAACAAGTCATGAAATATAATGGAAATAGGCAAAGTTAAAAACATTTATCGGTATGGGGTTCAACACAGCATCTCCGGTTTTTGTTCTGTGAAAGCCAGGTAGTGGAAGGTGGCGAGGGAAAGAAGAGAAAATGGTTAATTGAATGTACACGAGTTTGTTGAAGAAAATCTTGTTTGTCCGAAACGAAATGGACTTTATTTGTTCAAATACCACGCAACATTTTTTTGTTAGATTTCTTTAATTGGATTTTTTTCAACTTGCGTAGTTCGAACTAGCCACGAGTATGAGTAAAACAAAACAAGCACCACAAATGCGATCGTCGTACCACAAATCCACAAGCGAAGGTGCGTATATTTCACACGAACGGTGCTGCTAAGAAATCTAACAGCGAGGCCTTGATGAGAAATCCTTACGTCAGATCCAATTCATTTCTCGGGAACGATGCCACGAATGGCCTTCACCTCCCATAGGATCTCCCCTGCTTCCCGACACTTGATCGGTGGTGCAATCTAGCGACAAGTTTATTTCATGGAATAATATCTAATATAGACCAATCAAAGGTTTGTAATCAAGTTTTCAATTTTAGTATTTATTTTCAACTTTATTAAGTTATATTAAGACATGTAAGTCAAATTGATGTAAGTTTGAACGCGTGATATTTGCTCCGTATGAACGCAACCTAGCATGGGTGTTCAATTTTTAGTACTTATATCAAATCAAGACAAATAAACCAACAAGAACGTTATATTTCCTTACGATTGTCTTCGTTAAAATCACCCTCTACCCTTAATAAGTTCCTTATGCGAATTTATTTTTTCCCCTTAAAGATAATGGATTGCAAGGGCTGTCACGGCTAAATTTCTTAACCAATTGACAGATGTATCGAAAGCGCCAGAAACTATCAATATGCATTAATCCAATAAAAAATCATTTTTTTTCATTGCATAAATTATCTTTTAACATAGTGTACAAATCCTAAAATTTATTTTAAATTGTTAATAAATATTACGAAAATATTAAACATCCTACGACATCGCCATAGGATTATTCGAGAGTCAAGTTGCTTGGTGTAAAATTTGTGGGACTTTCTCTTCCGACGCCCACCGATCGTCCAGGCCGCGCGTCACTCAGGGCGCTGCTCGTGGCCGTAGAATGTGTTTAGAGGAGCTATCTTGTAGATGAAAAATATGTAAGACAATTTAAAAATATATAACTAAGATAATTGAATAAAATATACGAATAACTCTCACATATTATAAAATAATTCAACCAGCGAGTCAGATGCTCTGTTGTTTGTTTTCCACCCAATTCAGTAGATCTCACATGCTGTAAATTTTCAACAAAGATGTTAATGAACAGAAAGAAGTCCTTAGATTAAAACACTCATACGAAGCCACGATCTCTTTTTCAAATCAAACTTAAATTATTTCCAGTTCAATGATGCAGAGATCTGCGAACAATGGAATAAACATTAGAAATTATGAATGGGCATCGTAACGTACATGTATATATAGGCGTACCACAGTGACGGTAAAATCCTTCACGACGGTGAGGAATGAATTCTGCTTCAAATGTTGAATACTTATTTCCAGTGGAACTTCAGTTAATTTGTATTATTTTAACGAAACAATTATGTTCCTTCCTTGATATCCAACCTATGAACAGATTGTGATAAATTTTGGCCCACCTGTGAAAGGATTGCAATAAATGAAGGCCATGCCCATGAAGAGCATGTAATAGATGATGTCTCATCCATAAGAGTTTTTGTGATAGATTTTGAGTTCTCATTGTGATAGAAGAAATTATTGGAATGTGATACACCAAATATTTATACATCACCTAAGCAGTTTTGAAAATGGAATATTTCAATCACAGTATATCAACATTATACTGGGAATCGCTGGATCTCGTCGCTTACTTTTTTTGGAAGATCCTTCATGCAGATTAATTGCAGAAGGAAATGAATCTACTTTATATTGTCTATGTCGACCTAAGGCCGGAAGAACCTCCCCGCTGTTCTTTCCTCAGTCGCAAAATTGTTGATTTTTAAATCACTGAGAGAAACCTTGTTTTGTGGGGGCGATGCTGCGAACAATTATTATGCACGCACGAAGAGAACAGGCTAGGGGAAGAACAACTCAGGGAACAAAGGCAGCGATTAGCTTTTTCCTGCCATGACTGCTCGAGGCTCTCCATGAACAACCATCAACGCTACAGCTTCCTGCCAGAAAGCCGGGGCCATTTTTATTAAAAATTCTTAGAAACCTGAAGCAGGAAAAGTGTTTACAACTTTTTTTTTAGATTTTATTGATCGATCCATGATTAATTCCGGCACATAGAATCATAGAGAAAACGAAAAATTCTATTATTAACGCGTTTATTTAGAGGCAATTTTATAATTTAATAGTTACGCTGACATGAGCGACCCATCCAGCCTGAAGCGTGGAGGCGACGAGAGCGAAAGTATGGGAGAAAGTGTAGGAGCTTTGCTGCCTGCTGCTGCACTTCTGCTGCTGCACTACTGCTGCTGCACTGCTGCTGCTGCACTACTGCTGCTGCACTCCTGCTGCTGCACTACTGCTGCTGCACTCCTGCTGCAGCTGCTGCACTACTGCTGCTGCACTCCTGCTGCAGCTGCTGCACTCCTGCTGCTGCACTACTGCTGCTGCACTACTGCTGCTGCGCTCCTGCTGCTGCACTACTGCTGCTGCACTACTGCTGCTGCTGCACTCCTGCTGCTGCACTCCTGCTGCTGCACTTCTGCTGCTGCACTACTGCTGCTGCTGCACTCCTGCTGCTGCTCTACTGCTGCTGCACTCCTGCTGCTGCACTACTGCTGCTGCTGCACTCCTGCTGCTGCACTTCTGCTGCTGCACTACTGCTGCTGCTGCTGCACTCCTGCTGCTGCTCTACTGCTGCTGCAATACTGCTGCTGCACTACTGCTGCTGCACTCCTGCTGCTGCACTGCTGTTCTTGCGTCTTTACGTTTAGTTTTGGACGTTCGCGTCCACGGCAACGCTGTGGGTTGCCTTCGTTCGGCCGACGTATAGCACGTCGTCCGCAGCCAATTAAGGGGGAGGGAAGGGCAAGGGAACGTGGAACGTGACTAACATGTTTTTTCTTTCAGTTGAGCAAGATGCTGTTGATTACTATTTTCAAATAGTTTCATTTACAGTGACAGCCTCAGAGGCCGTCACTGTAACTGCCTAACTGAAGTGAACTACCCCCTCTCTGCTCGGCCCTACATTATAGAAGCCTAGAATCCGTCTCAGAACGGGATAACCCCGAAAAGTCTGAACAAGGACCGCATCTCTTTGATCAGTATGGGCAATACTGTACATTGTTCCACTCCGCTCACTCTGAAATATCACCATCTTGGAGGTCCCATTTTTAAAGTTAGGGGCAGGACCATTTATCATTTTCCACATGCATGTACAGAATGATTTACCTCTCATTCATTCTCACCATGAATAGAGTTCCAGGTGCAGTAGCCTCAAAAGGTTGTTCAGCTTGCAAATTCGTTGGTGCTCGCCTTGAGCGGTGCCAAAAGCTGGCAGTAGTACTTCAGAATTGTGGACAAGAAGGCTCTGAAAAGTGTAGTCGTTGAACCGAAAAGTGTAATCAACACTCCGAGATATGGCGAACGTGTGGTTTTCCCTCGATCAATTTGGCAATACGATAGCTTCAAAATTGGGGCCATTATATTACATTTTATTCAACAGAGCTTGTCTCGTCGCAGGCAAGTATGTCTGAAATTCTCATCAGCACTCTCATATCGTCCGCAAATGACGGTGTAGATACGTGATCAGATCTGAATCTATGTCAGCGATGTGTAGGAGGAAAAGGATAGGTCCACGCACGTTGCCCTGTGCTCCTCCGTTTTTTATTCTCGTCTCACTCGGTTTGGAGTCTAAAATGGCTAGTACCCTGCCAGTTGGGAAGTTATGGATCCACGTTTATAAATTTCCTCCTACTCCCAGTAGCATTAGTTTCTACAACTACACTCTTGCTACTGCACTCCTGCTGCTACAATCTCTCTCCTGACGATATACTCGAAATTAAAGTCGTGCCACTGCACTTTTGCTGTAGTGTTTCGCACTGCTGAAAAAAACCTCTGCTCCTGCACTCTTGCTGCTGCACCGATGATTGTACAATAGGACTGCTGCTTGTCACTTTCTGCTGCGCCCTTGCTACCTTGCTATGGTTTCTCTTGCTGCTCTCCAGCAGCTGAACTCTTCCTGCTGCTGCTCTCCTGCAGCTGTGCTTTACCTGCTGCTCTTATGTAGCTTCTCTGTTACTGCTGCTCTCTTACAGCTGTACTCTGCCTGCTGCTCTCCTGCAGCTTAAGTCTTCCTGCTGCTCTTCTGCAGCTGTTTTTCCTGCTGCTCTCCCTAGCTGTGCTCTTCAAATCGCTCAGTAGCTGCCGCCCCGTCCTCTCTACTGCCGCAATGTTACGAAGGTTACGATTAGACACAACTAATGCTGCTATACTGACTCACGTATTGCACTCTGAGTCAACAGCGATGTCTGACCTGATTAGTGAAACTAGCTAGACGCTATTTATTCACCACCTGCAGCCAATTTGACAAGCGCGATAAACCTCCGTAATTTGGTTCAGGACAAGGGCTTCAATCAAGAATACATAAGATTAATGATAATAAATCTGTGCATAATTCTGCACATTAACAAATAATTTGTAATACGGATCGATTCCTGCTACATTAATAACTCGCAAACGCAATTTAACAGGGAGGAAAATATGCAAGACAAAAAAAAAATCTGCCGGACATGATAGTAACGTTTTTAGAGAATTTCTATGAGCTGAGCAATGGCTGGAGGAAACTTTATCCTAAAATATCATAGTAGAGTGACGGTCAGTTGGATATGCGCAGGGGACGTGGCCGTACGGCGGCCTTTATTGCTCGGGAAATGTAGAAAATGTTTCGACTATTTCCATGAACATAGCAATAAGGAATCATAGTGGCCTGTCTCCTGGATGCTGAGGAAGGTTCCAGCGCGTCATTACAGTAGTCGGGGATGATTTAAAGCGGCCCAGAATGCCACGTGTCCGTCAGCAGGTGCGTGTTGCCCACAAGTGTTTTGTGCTTTTCGTCGTCGTGATCTTCTTGCTGTTCATCTACGGGATAGTGGCCCCAGATTCATCTCTATTTTTAAATTCAAAATATCGATTAATAATGCCCAAGCCCATAAAAAACAGGAAAATTGAGACCGCCCAATTAATTCACCATAAAAGGCTTAGTTCACACAACGCTTTCTTTTCCACGATTAATAGAACAAAGCAATCCCAGGAAGTGAATAAGTGCTCATCAATATTTTCGTTGGGAGCGACCAGACCAAATATGAGTTCGATTGTGAAGAGAGTACTCAGATATCTTAACGATGTTAAATCGATTCAGCCAAAGAAGATATTCCTTCGACCAGAGCCGTACTCAATTCTGGCGGACTTCATGCCAAAAATGTCAGGATACAACAAAACCAGTAAAAAATCTCCGTCGAATGAGGTGAGTAAAGTGCTACAAGCTTGAGTCCCCACATGTGTGTGTGGAAGCCATTATTGATTATATTTCTGTGTCAGGAAATTGAAACTTCCCGAACATTGAATTTAATACTTTCAGATCGCGCCATCATTGAATTAATTCCCATATTGGATGTAATCTTGGAATTAAAGCTCCTCAATTCCGCTTATCGAAGCCATCATTGATCATATCTCTGTTTTAAGAATAATATTGCAACTAACGCTTCATAATCACGCTTATAAAAGCCATCATTAAATCCGTTCCTATGTTAAGACTAATATAGAAATCAACGCTCCCTAATACCCCTTACCAAAGCCATTATTGAATCAATCCTCGTATTAAGAATAATGTAGAAATTAACACTTTCCTATCATGCGTATCAGAACCATCATTAAATATATCCCCATATTAAATATAATATTTGAATTACCATTAATAATTACCCCAATAATAATATTTGAATTACCACTAATAATTTCCCCAATAATAATATTTGAATTACCACTAATAATTTCCCCAATAATAATATTTGAATTACCACTAATAATTACCCCAATAATAACATTTGAATGACCACTCCCCCAGCAGGAGGGCAGGTGGCGGCTGCAAGAAGTAGACGGGCTGCTGCCACACATGGGGTGCCGCCTGCGCCAGTACTCAACCGCTGACCTCAGGCAGTGCGTCGTCAACAGGAGAGCCGGCGGCAGAACCTCTAAGCTGCTATTCATTGGAGACTCCAGAGTCCGGCAGCTCGTTGAAGTATTCCTGGACCTTTACAGGGACTTGAAGTTCCAAATCAGAACTCATGAGGTGAGTAATGAATTAGGAATTAAAATCATGCTTTGCTTATATTTCGCGACTTCTAAGATAGCATACAATTTATTTGTTATTTTGTTAGACGGCATTAATTAGTTATTATCCTCAGGAATGCCTGTTAAAAGTTTTTTAATATATTACTCGATTATGGCCGTAGTTACGTATGAATCGGTGGTCAAATTTTAGCGCCACCGAGTCGTTGTAAATGACTTTACGAAAACTGGAGGCACTTTTCTTTGACGTCTGCAAGCGTCTCAAATATTTCGTCTATTCTTATTTTTTGAAAAACGGTTACATAGTAGAATTTGTTTGCATTAAAATCTAACCTTTTTTTCTTATTGATATTTTCCGTTCCGTTTATTTTGGCCACCGAATGCTGCCTATTGCGATGCATTGTAACGCTGATAGCTCTAACGCAATAATGAATATTTTGTCAAAATAGTTCATAACTTTTGCGTCATTCACAAAACTTCTTACTAACGCATTTTTAGGGCCAGGTTGTCGACGTGGAGGAGTTTTTAGGCGAAGATGCCGAGATATTGTGGGACAAATACAAGCGCGAGTTCAACGTTACGAGTGAAGCGCTGCCAGACTTCAGCGCCGACTTCTACTGGTCATCTTTTATGGGCATTAAACCTACAGTCACCATCTCGGAGCCCATCCCTCACCCCAATAGTTCCCGTATACTCCAAGAACTCCACGAGAAAAAAATTGCCGATAAATTGCGTACGCTGAGTGAAAAAGAATTTGGGGATGCATACAATAACGAAACCAATGACGCTTTCGGTAATGTAACGACCAGACATGTGAGCGATTTGCATGCGGGTTCTCAGGCTTATTTTTCAAACGAGATACCAAATACGTCCGAAACACATACTCTACATCGAATCAACGAAATCGAAAATAAACGAAAGATGAAACCGTTCATCAGTAAACCACTGAAGAAACTCGAGAATCTGATTTCCGAAAACGGAAAACTTTCGGATATCGTTTTTTTAGGTGAGCGCATAAAATTGATGATATTTTGTCAAACAGATCCCCGGTTTTCTTTTAGCTTAAGCTCCGTTATCTCTAATCTACAATCACGATGGAGGTTAAATTTTCTCGCTATACATTGTCACAGGAACAGGGATCTGGAGCTTGTCGCACTTCAATAACTTCTTCAGGGTATACGACGAAATGACCCTGGCGCAGGTGAGGGCGCTGCGCCCCCTGCTGGCGGCCCTTGCTGAGAAGACGGACGTCGTGTGGATCATGCCGCCCCCCATCAACGACCACCTCATAACACTCCCCAGTGAGTAACACCCCGCATCAACGACCACCTCATAACACTCCCCAGTGAGTAACATACCGCATCAACGACCACCTCTTCACATTCCCCAGTGAGTAACACACCACNTGCAGGTGACTGCTTGACACCCACGGCGCTTGCAGGTGACTGCTTGACACCCACGGCGCTTGCAGGTGACTGCTTGACACCCACGGCGCTTGCAGGTGACTGCTTGACACCCACGGCGCTTGCAGGTGACTGCTTGACACCCACGGCGCTTGCAGGTGACTGCTTGACACCCACGGCGCTTGCAGGTGACTGCTTGACACCCACGGCGCTTGCAGGTGACTGCTTGACACCCACGGCGCTTGCAGGTGACTGCTTGACACCCACGGCGCTTGCAGGTGACTGCTTGACACCCACGGCGCTTGCAGGTGACTGCTTGACACCCACGGCGCTTGCAGGTGACTGCTTGACACCCACGGCGCTTGCAGGTGACTGCTTGACACCCACGGCGCTTGCAGGTGACTGCTTGACACCCACGGCGCTTGCAGGTGACTGCTTGACACCCACGGCGCTTGCAGGTGACTGCTTGACACCCACGGCGCTTGCAGGTGACTGCTTGACACCCACGGCGCTTGCAGGTGACTGCTTGACACCCACGGCGCTTGCAGGTGACTGCTTGACACCCACGGCGCTTGCAGGTGACTGCTTGACACCCACGGCGCTTGCAGGTGACTGCTTGACACCCACGGCGCTTGCAGGTGACTGCTTGACACCCACGGCGCTTGCAGGTGACTGCTTGACACCCACGGCGCTTGCAGGTGACTGCTTGACACCCACGGCGCTTGCAGGTGACTGCTTGACACCCACGGCGCTTGCAGGTGACTGCTTGACACCCACGGCGCTTGCAGGTGACTGCTTGACACCCACGGCGCCTGCAACAACTTCATGTCCCTAATAACATGCGTAACATGTCTAGGTCTTCACTTTCATGTGAAAGAGAATGAATAAGAGAATAAAAATAATTACGTTTATTGGTATACCCCATGAATCTCGCAACGATGTTATCGTGAACGATGGAGTCTTGTAAAGGGTGCCTGTAGAAGAAAATACGCAGGTTTCGACATGAAGTTATGTGTCCATTTGATTCTTTAAAAATTGTAAAAACATGTTGTGAGGAGCTCAGATGGCACCTGGAATAGCCACAATAATTATGTAAATAAAAAAGGTATTTTCTATGAGTATTCAAGGTTTTTTCAGGGACTTTAAAATGATATTCAAGAATAAAGAAATAGGGACAGAGTAGCGTTCGATATTTGTCGTGTTAGATCTTTTGCTGAAACTTCACAATAATGATATGCCATCAAAAATTTGTTTGAATTACAGTACTAAAAGAAGAATTCATACATGGTATGCGAGGAGCTGTCATGGTTGTTTCTTAAACACTGAGTGAAAGACAGCGTCCAGTTGAAAGATATCAACATTCATTACCTTCTAAATATCTACAAAAAATAAATTTTAGCCGATAACGGTTGGATGGCGCAATTAAATATAGATTTATTCTTTCATTTCTAAATGGCTTAAGGAAACCTTCGGAATAAGACAGGAATGAGAGTATTGCTATGTAGAAATTAAATATCAATGCACGCATGCATTCTTGAGTCCCAGTCCGACAATGAAGCATCAAATTACGATAATTGAATGAATTACAGTATCACGAATTTAGATGAATTTCACTAGCAAAGATCAGAAGCAGAAGCATATTATTATGGAAACATTTTGAGACGAACTCCATGATCATACCTGTAAGTTGAGTGCTACGTCTGACAACCATGCTAACGATACGAGTAAATCACTCAAGTTTGATCTTGCCAAATTTACGTAATAAAAATAATGAGGCTGGTGTCGTGAACGATGTCACTCGAATTTGATAAGTTTCATGAATTTCACTTGTTGTTAAATTTAGATAATTTCAGTTTTTTTTTTTTTTTTGCAGATGAACTGCCTGAAAATCCGCGCTTGTTCTACAAGAAGTCGTGGGCGTGCAGCGACCGCGTGCACACGAGCAACGAGGCGGCCGTCGTGGCCGTGGACATGATGGTCAACTACTTGTGTAATGGCCACATGCCGCCTGCAGACTACTGCTGCAGCCCGCCACTGCCGCACTGACCGCCTGCAGACTACTGCTGCAGCCCGCCACTGCCACACTGATAGCCACATGCCGCCTGCAGACTACTGCTGCAGCCTGCCACTGCCGCACTGACCGCCACATGCCGCCTGCAGACTACTGCTGCACAGCTCACTATACATTCTTATTAATTTATTGAGAAATAACTGACTGAGAGTTGGGAAGGAATAAATGCTACCAACTTATGCTTGTTTGATAACTCGACCTTCATGAGAAATACGTACCTAAATGAACATTCTTCTTAGAATAGAAGTTCAAATCGCACTTGCAAGTTGTTGACAGTGCAAAAATGAAAATGAACGATGTTACTTACATTCAAAGACGTCACATCAAATTGGATGAGCCCAATTTCCGGACATTCCGGTTACACTCAGCAATTCTGATCTCGCAGTATTTCCAGACATGCTTATAGCACAAACTTGCCAGACCAAGGCAACAGAAAAAGGCAGACCAAGGCGACAGTAAAAGGCAGACCAAGGCGACAGAAAAAGGTAGACCAAGGCGACAGAAAAAGGCAGACCAAGGCGACAGAAAAAGGCAGACCAAGCGGTCAACAATTTGATATCACGAATGAAAGCACAACAGTCGACAGGTTGGCGGAATTTGTGCTATTCAGTTGAATAGAATGCGTAACATAATACGTTGTAGAATGTAGAATAAGATATAAATTTACAAATAATAGATACTAAAATAATAATAGTACGCGTTCATGAAACTCTTTTTCTTTGTAGTGATGCAGCGAGATATTTTCTGAACTCGCCTACTTGTTCGACAAGTAATCTATGCCTAAAATAACCTGAAGCTTGCAAAGTAAGGGAAAAAACACAGTTCTTTACATATAAAATGTAATGAAAATATGCGAGAATTTACAAGCAAAGGTATTGATAAACAAAAAAATTAGCTATGAATTTTGCGACCTAAATTTTATTATCACTGTAATCGAACAACTTCCTGCATAGGACAAATGTGCGTTCCGAGCTCACGTAACAAATTCAGTTACATATTGTAGTTTCCAACAGGAAAGGATTTAATACCAGAATCAAAATTTTACGAATAAAAGGAATTGCTTCATCTGAATATTGGGGGAAAATCAAATCTTTTGGTTAAAAATTTTCCTCGTTACAGGCGCTAGTCAGAACATAAAAGCATGAGTTTGCAAATATAAATTTAAAGCTGGCACTGCGATATGCGAGAGTCGAGGAGCCAAGATCAAAACTCGCTGTAGGCCTTGCTTCTGGTTCCTCTTCATAACCTAGTGACGTTATTATTTTCCGTGGCTAGTAAAAAGCTTCAAACAACTTACAACAGGCAATAAAGCAGGCAATTCTGCCAAGGTACGTGATTAATAAACTAACCGAAAATAATTCGTGTCACATACACGTTAAAAAGTCTTCGTTCCGAGCAAAAAGTCCTTTTTCATAAAATATTTACATGTTAAACACTGACCATAACAGAGAATTTCTCTATTTACTGCGGTAAAATGTTTTTTTTTTATCCAGAGTATTTCAATAAAAAAAGACTCGTCAAAAGTAAAATGAATTTTTTGGTAGCCGCGCTTCCCAGCTAAAAAATAAGACAGGCCTGCCGGTGTCACATGCCAGAGACGTTTGAGAAGTAAAACAAATTCTTACGCAATTCATTTCCATGTTCATTGCAATGCTACAACTAAATTTATTTTCCATTAACACCCTTTTTCTTTACAGCAACAACGATTTATCGTAATGTTTCTACAGCAACAAAAGTGCAACACGTCAACATTTTTCTACATTTTCCTCACTACATTTGTATAGCTTTCAGATCGAGACTCGAGGTTGAAATTCTTCTTCCTTTTATCATCGCTTCATCGGAACTCCCGCGATGTTCTGTATATCAGGTGCTGGCGTCGCTGCAGTGCAGCTTCTCCGTGGCCGCGATGCATTTCCTGATCTCGAGCCCGATGGCCCTGGCCATGGGGGGCGGCACGGCGTTACCAACCTGCCGGTGCTTCTCCAGGAGGCTTCCGTAGAAGCGGTAGGCGTCAGGGAAGCCCTGTGAGCGCGCGCACTCCCGCACACTCACCACGCGGTGCTGCTCTGGGTGCAGCACGCGCCCCTGCATGAAAAAAAATATAACTCAGTACTCACGGCAGTGAGTGACAGAGAGCGTATTTTCTCGTGCATAAATCAGTTTTCATTGCGATTAGTACAGTGCATAAGAGCTAGAGATACCGTATCTTTGATACAGGCATGCCCGCTTCTTAAAATCGACGAAAACGTGAAGTCACGGACGGGCAGACGGACAGACAGACGGACATGGCCCGCACAATAGTGCATTTTTTCCATAAAGAGAAAATGCGCTAAAAATACCAGATATATTTACATCTTTACATACTATTTTTAATTCAAATAACTGTTTGCATCAATAAGTAGATACAACATATATATTTGGACATCGAATTAAAAAGATGATTTATACAAGCCTTTCTGAGACAGTAATTTGACTTACAAGACTTACGTACGGTACTGTAATTTACTGACACATTCATCAATTCCTGGAGCGTTGTTAATCATTTTTAGTTACCAATCAAGTCTCATGTTGGCCCAAAACCTCGTAATTAAAATTTTTGATGAGGAAATATTCTTAAAGCAACAAATGACTCCAGAAACACGGCGGCTCAGCTACTGAAATCCAATGTACTCATATTACCAAAAGTAACGAGCTACGAAAAATATCTTTAAATCAAATTTAAGCACATGGAACTTTTGCCTTACAAAACTCATTCTCTTGGATAACTATTCTCTTACTAACTTGCTACTACTTACAAGCGTGCCGATGTTAAGTAAGTTAAGTAACATTTATTATGCACAATATTGTTGAGAACATGCATGCAGGAACCATCATTATCAATAAAACCTACACCATCACCACAATCAGTGACAATTTAGAGCAATTTTAATTGAAGACAGCACCTGCTTGCCCATTGGCTCAGGGTTGGTGACGGTGGTGGAGAAGAAGCCGTCCCACTCCAGCCTGCCGTAGAGACCCGCCCAGTGGTTGTGTCGGTTGGCAGTGTGCGGCAGACACCAGGGGATGAGGGTGTTGTGCTGACGGTCCATGGGATCACATGGTGCACCGCTGGCACATGCACATACACCACGCAAGTGGCCTTCACTTGAGCGCCCGTTGCGCTTGTCGTCGTGGTTATACTCGCTGCAAACAACAAATGCTTGTTGACGTGCACACAAAAAGTAATTACAAATGTGGATAAAAACTAGTTAGGGTGCTATACCTATGGCGGTATACCTATATATACCTATAAACTATCAATTGATTTTCCAGCCCTTATTTTAGCTCTAAATTAAACAGTAAAAATGAAGAAAACGTTACTCACCATTGGAGTCCCATAAATATTCTAAATAATCAACTTATCCGTCACATATAAAGAGTTTACTCACAGTTTTTTGGTCCAGGAACCATCAGGCAAGCGTACAGGTTTGTTAGGCAGCATGCGCCAGTCGCTGCCGGGGGCTGTGGGGATGCGCTGCATGCGCGCGGCCACGAGGTCGGACAGAGATTTGCACTGATGGTCCAGCAGCAGCCCGTCACTAGCACGGACCTGTCATCATCAAGACGTACATTAATAATGATAAATAATAATAAAAAGCGTTTAATGTTGTTCAAACACAAATACGTTTCGTTACTGCATTATTCGAAAAACGGTAAAAAACAGTCTCACCGGCGTTGTAGTGGCCGTCTGTGACGTGAAAATAAACAGTTTATCTGTATTTTTCAGATGTTGTACGGGTTTCTAGTGTTAAATTCGAGTAAAAAAACGGTCATACGGTGTTTCTTTTCACGTGTCGGCAGGCCACAAGGACGCCGCTGAGACCGCTTAACGGTAATTTTTCTTACAGTGATGCATAGTAATCTTAACGAGAGTAATAATCGACTATGGTGTAAAGCAAAAGGCACTCTAAAATATTAGCAGTCGATGTTCGGTAATATAACTATCGGTAACTGTAACCCGTTACTCAAATAGTGTAAACGTTCAGCAGCATACAAGTTGCCAAGGCTCACCATTCGCTGGAAATGAGACTCAGGCTCGGTGGTGTAGGCGACCTGTTCTCTGCCGCCGCCGTTCTGTATGGGTTGCAGGTCGCTGAGGGCGTCACGCACTGTGATGGTGCGCAGCGGTCCACACACCGTCCACCGGCAGTTGCTCTTATACTGAACACAAGTTCTTGACATAGTAGTGCTAGTTTTATTTGTTTAATACAAAGTTTTGATCTTTACTTTATACACGTTTTTAATGCACATTTTGTGAGAACATATTTTTGATGAGGCGTTCTCTAATTTGTGGAACGCAGTATTTCAAGGAAATAAATGGCGTATAATGGATGATCATTAATTCAGAGAATACGCCAAGATCCATCAGAGTAGTGATAATATCGAGCATATTTAGGAATATGCAAACTCATATAACGGGCTAAAATGAAGTAAATCGTGTTACTTTATTATCACCGACATCAGGTAAAGTGACATTCTGACAGGCTACAGCCAAAGACTTCCAATGATTGATATTTTTCTGGTAAATGACAGGAGGCAGTTTTGTTTCTTTATGAGAATAATAAAAAAATTATAACATACTTCATTGGAACACATCAACTTAACGAATTAAAAAATCAACCGCAAGCTTGATGAAAAGGAGTTCATACCGCGATTAGGTACTTCATATGGTAATTCCATTTTTGCAAATGTCATTACTAGGTACGTGATTTGTTGCCTCAGTCATTATGAAATAATTTGCTGCCTAAGTCATTATTACATACTTAATACTTTAACTATTTCGTTAATTCTTAATTTGGTACCTAATTCTTCACGCAATGATTGTTACCAAAGTCGTTGGTCCATACGTAATTGGTTGCCTACGTCATTATTACATAATTCGTTAAATAATTTTTTAGAGACAATTCGGTACCTAATTCTCACACAATAATTATTGCCTAAGTAGTACAAGTGCATAATTGGGTGTTCACCTTAACGTCGGCGACGGCAGCAGAGACGGAGCAGGCGTGGGGGGAGAAGGAGTGCAGCGGCTCAGGGAAGTAAGGGAGCTGCTCGCCTGGAGCTGCAGCCAAGATGATGGCCCTGCAAACGTCCGTATCAAACATCGAATATATAATCGAGTAATAATAGAATGCTTTACTAGCACTTCAGCTACCAAATTCTTTCGCAATAGCAGCCTTAAATAAAAATCACTAGCAAGGCGAAAAGCATTGACATTTTTTTACATCATTCATAATCCACAAGACGCGCATGGTCGCAAGACCACTGAAACTGGCAAAAAAGAAACAGCGCTAACATTCGTAAGTTACGGGGTGACAAAAAGAGACAGAAGCGGCACTCGTCAAGATGTATCAGTTGTGACGTACAAGAAGCGACACAGCCGCCCACACGAGAGACAGAGAAGAGAAATGTAAGGAATCCTGCCTACATAACAACTTAAACCCACAACTGCCCTGCCTACACAACAACTTGATGGCTTATGTACACGGAAGGATAGCTAGATTAGAGCATCCCAAGCCAATGCTTGGGATGAACGAGCTAAGGAGCTCGTTCATGCTGATTGCATCATCAGAGCTCGGAGCTCGTTCTGATGATTGCATCATCAGAACGAGCTAAGGAGCTCACCAACAGAAGAATGCCAAGCTTCATGCTGTTCTTCAAATTTCTACGACCTAAACGTCTCACCGCATCACCGTTCCCGCGAACCAGCGCGGCGCAGCTATCATGTGCATCTGCGATTTCTTTCACAGCCCTATTTTTCTTCATACAAAGCTGATACCGGTACCACACACAGTACGATAACAAAAAGACTTTCAAATTAAATGGTAGTATTAAACTTTAAAGCAACTCTGGAACGCAGTGCTTGTAGGATGGGAATTTGGTTTATTTGGCTTATACTTGCTTTTAGACAACGGCTGTTCAATTAAGATGCATTTTAGTACATTCAGTGAAATAATCTTCAGTTGCCAGTCGAAACCTATCATTTGACAAACAGTTATCACCAAATCCATTCAAAATAAACTGTTTAGTCAAGAAGGCACGGTTGAAAATATGAGTAGGCTTGATTATGGTAATTTAATCATTAGCAGCATTATTTAGTAGCAGACACAACCGAAACGTGCCATGGTGGCCTGTCTGCAATCCTGCTCATTGATACACGAGTTGAAAGAAAGTTCTGCATCAATGTGAGATTTTACAACGAAGACATTTTTCTTATGCTTCAGATTGATCATAAGAAAACTCTTATATCATATAATAAAATAGCTTTACTTTCCACAATTATTTATACACCGTCAACACCGCTAACATCACAACACTTCGGTCGTTGGTTTTCAATAGAAACTATTTTATGTAAGCATAACCGAACCACAACTTTCTAGAGAGACAGAAACAGATTTGTACTTCATTATGTGGTAATCCAACCCTACAAATCGAAGTTCTGATAAGTATTAATATATGGTTTTTAGTGACGAACGGCGAGTTAAGTGCACAATCTTCTGCAAGGCGACTAATGTGTCATTAATCTAGATCACTAATTTGTCAGCCTGCGAATCCATCTTCACCTTCGTCTTGTTTGTGCGACGCCGTAGCTGCCAGCTTGGAGTATCCCGAAGGTGCACTGGTAGCCCATCTGTACCAGGACCCTGAGCGTGAGCTGCAGCACCATGCCGCACTTGTACGACACGAAGTTACGCACGTTCTCCAGCAGGAAGAAGCGGGGGCGGTAGAAATCACAGTACGACAAGTAGGATGCCACCAGTGAATTCTGAGCACATAACCAAACATTAAATAATTAATTAATGATTATAGGCTACAAGATCGAAATGACGAATTTTAAGGAAACTATCAAGTACAGAAAATTAAACTGATTTCATTTGATATAACTGCATACTCTAGATTAATTATTCTTATTCTTTCTTCTTAAAAGATGGAGATACCTTAATTAAACGCAACACAGAAGCTGACAGGAAATAGTTAGTTAGTTAGTTTAGTGGTCAAATGTTTACTAGCGCTTCAGCTATTAAGCTATCTCGCACCGAAAGTCAAGATGAACATCACCGTTAGTTAGTTAGTTAGTTTAGTGGTCAAATGTTTACTAGCGCTTCAGCTATTAAGCTATCTCGCACCGAAAGTCAAGATGAACATCACCATAGAGGTGGAAGGTCTCAATTATTCATCACCCACAAGGGGCGGAAGGTCTCAGATGTCCAGCCCGCTGAAGCTGGCTCGAAGGAAGCAGCGTTAGCATCTCAAAGAGACGAGGTGACAAGGAGGGACAGGTGAAAAGCAATAGAAACGAAGACACTCGAACAAGAGGTCGCTTACACGGGACGTCGGCCGCCCGCACGAGAGAGACAGAGAAGGGAAATGTAAGGAATCCTACCTACATAATAACTTAACCCCACAACTGAGACCTGCAGTCAGACACCGCGAGCTCAGCGGTGGGGCGCTCAGGAACAATCCCCCTAGGAACGCGAAATCCCATAGGACTTCTGACGGGTACAGACACCCGTCAGAAGTCCCCCCTTAGGGGTGACAGGAAATAATGAACATAATATTTTAAATAATAATCTTGATATATTATAAGTTGTATTACAATAAACATTAATAATATTAAAATTTACATTAATGAACACAAGAGTTTGAACAGGTGAAAATAATATTCGAACAGGAGACGCCATGTACGCCAGCAGACGCCTACCTTAAAGAGGGAGTATTGTCTGGAGTTGAAGCGGTTCATGCCACTGAAGCCTTGGCACGGGGGGCCGCCACACAATAACTCGACGTCCCCCTTCCGTGGCAGCGTCTGGCCTTTGCTATTGGTCGTCTTGTTCTGCACATAAACAATAGTTTAGAATCATCAAAGTACTGAGGCGGTTTCCAACTATGTCGATCGTTTAATAGCACTGACAGGAAGACAAACGATACAAAAACAGAGTTTTCCAAGGAGCAAAATAACAGCCTACTTATCACAAGACACTAAACATGAGGTCGAGTTTTGAGTAACCTGACGATATACTACAAAAGAACGATAGTTAGGGAGCGTGACAGTGATACCCGTTAAGGTTCAATTGCCACAGGCTGAGGTTACGCTTTGCAAATATCAAAGCTATTCATGCGCTAATTACTCTGAGAGCTTTTAGATTGCTGCTTGATCAAGTCATAAGACGTGCTGATTTGTGAATATTTGAGGGTTACAATAATAATTTTTCACAAGTAATGAAAACCGTCAATCAATAGAGATGTTAAAACAATCGTGCATTATCAATTGCTTGATTGAATGGTCGGGAATGACGACAGTTCTACAGCTTCAATGTTATACCAGCCGTTATAAGCATTCACTTAGAAATACGAGTTCAGCAAGTCGCTTTCATCAGGAAAGCTTTTTGCCACTTCCTGGATCGTTATATTTGTCCACATCTAAATGTTTTTTTATGTGAAGGAACACAAATGCGTTGGAGCCAAAAAAAAAAAAAAGAACCGAACGCCACCTCCATTGCCATCCTGAGGAGCAGGTTGCAGTCATCGGTGAAGACTGTGGCGTTGGGGTTGTTGAGTTTGTAGGCGTTGGCTGCAGGCTCAAACACTTCTATGGCCCAGCAACTCTCTGCCACTCCCGCCTGATGGAAGCCTTCCGACAAACCTGCAACAATATCACGAGCTGTAGTAATGCAGGATTAAGGATGCTAGTGGTGACACGGCACTAAGTTATAAAGGGAGCCAGGGCACGAAGCATCATCAAAATTACGAGCTGTTAGAATATTAGAATGTAAGACCCTGCAAACATATGCTGCCAGACAATGTATTGAAGAAAATTTATGGTCAAAATTTGTATCTTTCTTTCACTGATAACGAATGGTGAAGTCAGTAGGAGTGGAGTAAGAACTACTCAAGACACCAGAGGTGGTGCCTCAGGTTATCACAAATCGAGAGTTGACCCAAAGGAACTTCATCAAAAGCAGCCTCACTAATATTAAATAATATTCAAGAGCTTAAATAATATTCATTATATATTAATATATTAATATTCAAGAGATATCTCTCTATTTTGCGTGCACATGCCTGTCCTCATTACCATAGCGTGCCCGTATCGCTCCACATGATACTATATTCACGCACCGGCGCTGAGTATATTGTGAAGTATTACCAAATAACTCTACTTCTGCAATATTATTTACACAATTCTTCATCAGCCTACCCACGATTCATTTCAAATAGCCTTCAAAACCAAACAGCGTTTAGCCTGGAGTCGCCCGGACAGCAGCTGAGCTCGAAGTGAGGGCGCTGATGCGCAGGCACTCAAGTAACACCTGCTGAGAGACGAGACTCACCCCCACAACCTGAGAAGACGTCCAGAGTGCGAAGGCGCCTTGTGATGCTAGGGTAGTCTTCAAGTACGGCAGTTGTGTTGCTGTTACTGCTGCCTTTGCCTTTCCCTTTACCTTTGCCCTGCGCAGTTTAACAATTACAAGTTAGCTGAAAAATATGAGTGGCTTTTAATGTGAATTTTCATTGATTGAAGATACTCGGCTTACAACTGGCTCTGCAATATAGTTGTATGTTCCTGAAGCAAATAACTCCGATTTTTCCAGTATGCAAAATTAGGGAAAGTGCAAGGTTGACGGCATTTCAAAATACAACAAAGAACACCAGGCACTAATAGTGCAAAAACTGCACACAATCAACAGTAGAGTAATTAAAGATTATTAAGATAATAAGAGCAAAAAAAAAGTCTTTTATTTGTCAGCAAGATGATTATTATATAGAGTATTTTGAGGTCGTGTGTCTTACGTCACCACCCATACCTTCAGTAGCGTTAACCGAGTCACCTTCAGGAACGTCTATAAGCTCTTCAAGCATCCCATGGGGCAGTCGTAAACAGAACTCTATTTGCAGCAGTCGCAGCCAAGCCTTTATACGCATCTACTTACGTTCTGAAGGCTCCAACACTCGCTTGTCCACTTGCAATAAGGTCGATATAGCTACCTGATCCATTCCTGTAATAATACCTCACCGTGCCTATCTTAAATAATTAATGATTAGAGTTACCACTCTTTCATTCCTCCTTATATCATATGGACAATAATTCAATCCGAAACTCATTGAGACATTTTAGTTGATTAATTTTCATCGAGTGTCACTGAAAAGACCCATGGACAATATAAGTGATCTCTTTACTTAATTAATTCTCACAGAGTGTCACTGAAAAGACCCTAGAGACTCATACTACAGAGACTGAAATACTACTGATGGGTCTTAGAGACTGAAAGACCTATAGAGTGTCACTGAAAAATCTCATGTTCTTTCTAAAAAAAATGCAAAATTGTATTTTTTATGTTGGGGTTGCTACGAGAAGCTAGATAATTTCGAGAAGTTCTTGATACAGCAATTGCTAGGAGTACCTTGCCTGAAGACCCAAGGTTTATAGCAGACTTGGGAGGCTCGACAAGTTCTTTGGTTGTGGCGTCGTAGGCTTGCGAGAAGATGAACCTGTACGGCCCTTGCAGGAAGAACTCGTCGGGTGAACATGTGAGGTTCTCAGCATAGACGACCGTGCACTTGCCACACACCCAACTGAACGAAACGCTCGACTCTGCACAACACCGAATGCTACTTGGTCAAGCAGTCCAATGCATTATTTATCGCTTGACTGAGTTTAACAACAATACTGAGTTAAAAAGACTGAGTTAACTGAGTCAAGTTAATATTGTGCACATAACAAACTAACGGTACCGTCAAGACTGAGTTAACAGTCAAGTTAACAAGACTGAGTTTAATAACAAGGCCGAAACGCTCAACTCTGCACAACACAAAATGCTACTTTGTCAACGCCAGCAACTGCAATGTATTGTTCATAATCACAAGATGCAAATTCATACAATTCATCATTTAAATACGAAATTCTACGCAGCAATTGAGAAAAAGTATGATTTGACTTCAATCTTTCAATCTAAAGCTGAAATTAGGATTAATCATACATGGGTCGTAAAAATGGAAAGGCAAATAATAAAAAATCTAAATTAAAGCAAGAAGGCACTTTTTATTTTTTTCCCTAAGTAATATGAAGGTAAATAAGACCTCCGAAGTTGCTCCCCGTATATAAAATACTGATCTCGGAAAATGAGGAGAATTTGACGCAACATTACCAATAGATATTAAGGAATAACAGAATCTGGTTTATGACAACAATACCCTACATGTAAACCATTCAACAACAATGACTATCTCACAGGACTCGCGGCCTGTGTCCCGCAACACAATACGTTAGCAATGTATACACTAAGAACCTTCATCGCTCCAGTAGAGGAGGTTGAGCGGCGCCTGGTAGGCAGCAGCGGCACCGCGATGGGTGTTCTCAGGTCGGTAGAACTTGCGCACCACGGCAGTCACACTAGCCGGGGGCAACGCACTCCCGCAGAACACTTCCCCTGCACGACACGAAGCTTTTATGATTAATTCTGAATAATGCTTAATGAAAATCACCTAAGTTTGCCTTCAGCGTGAAACTGGTCTTTACTGTACTATGACTGAAATCAAATTTGTGCTTAAGAGGATAAGCATAGCACGACTCAACGCAGATAATTGATGTAAATCATTTGAAAATCAAGATATTTTATAATATTTGACACCCAATTATGCATCCGATCATTTGCTAATGGTGACAGTAGTAAATAAGATAAGATTCAACAGAGGCTTATCAGCCCATTTTGCTACCCAGTTCTCAATAGTCAAGAATTAACACAAAAGAAACAATGAGAAAGCGGGGCTGACCGGACTTGGAATGGGGGCGAATGGACAGTATCTGCGCCACTCTGAAGGGTTCGCTGGTGTCTTCATTACTTCCTTTGATCTTCTGAGTTAAACGATAATATTCAGGGAAGAGGTCTTCGTCCCAATGCTCCTGCTGGCGCTGGGCTCGTGATGCTGGGCTCGGTAGCTTCACCTGACACGATGAATCCTCAACTTACAATGCAAGATCTATATTAATGAAACTCAAACATCAGAGAATGACTAGACTAGATGACTAGATAAAGCTATGGAAAAATATATGTTAAGATTTGAAATGCCTAGCACCATGTCGAACCCGGTGGAAGTCTAGTAGCTATTTCAAACTATCGTCAGTCATGAAAAGATCCGGTCAAATGACACGATTTTAGATCTTCTGTGAACAAGGCACGAAAAGGAAAAGAATCGGCGACAGGCCACATCAGGCCTACACTTCAGCGCCGAGATCTCTATGTTATGTTATGTTATCTCAAGATGTGGAGTGTTTAAGAGCAGGCAAGCACTTCACGGTTTGGACAAGGCATCGTCCGGCTGTGATTCTCAGACGTTATTGATAACATAGCTGGGATTGACTGAATGATTGCATTTAATACACACATTCTTACCTTAAAAGCAAAAGCCGAAGGCTCCACAAGAATACAGTCACCAACGCTAAATTTCTGGTCCATGTACTGCACGGCATTGTACTCGTCAGTCTGAGGAAAAAACGTTTTTGATCAAATTTTTTTAACAAAAAAGCTGGCGCTTCCATATCATTGAAGCCTTTTTTCTATTATACAAAAATATTCAGCAAATAAATACTACCAAAATTGCCTGTACTAAAATCATGAGACTTTGGTAAACCTGGAAACGATGAATAATTAATAGGAGCTTTTTATCAGAAGCTACAGTGTTATTAAACACGCGAGTGTTACATGTATTAATTCATTTCTTGATAAAACGGTCTACTAATTCTATCGCATTTTCTTGTCCTCATTTAGATCAGTTTTATTATCTTTTATAGTAATCCAGTGAATAATGGAAAGGAATAGTTTGAACAATGTTTAAGTAGCAGTTCCAAGGTTACCTCTGTAGATTTCTCCATGAGAACACAGGAGTCCCGCAGCTCGGCGAGTCGCAGCCGCTCGCAGCATGGACAATCTCTGCTACCAGTGGCCAACTCGTTCTGATTTAAAAGCTTAATGTTAAGATTTATAAATATATATTTATATCAAAATTTATTTATATAGGTATATATTTATTTCAACCATTATAATGACATGCGTTCATGTAATGGAGTGCGTGCCAAGTAAACAAAGTAAAATTATATCCCGATAGTTTCATAAGCACTATCCCAATTGGTCGGAAACAAACTAGAAATCCAATCTGATGAGACAAAATTAAACTCTCTAGACATAGGATCCCAGAAAAACATTTCATAATTGAATTTTTTAAAAACTTATAAATTTATTTTGGTTTATATCAGTTCGATTCAAAAATAGACCACACAGTGGCTGCCCCAAAGAAATTCAAGAATCTGGACTTCGCTTTACTTCGTAGATCGTCACCTGCTCAGAGGAGAGGTGAATGAACCTGGCGTGTTGGGGGACATAGGCGAGCTGGCAGAAGAAGCTGTGGGTGTCGTCGGAGGCAAGCGGGTTCAGATCCTCAGGGTGAAGGATGCCCCCAAGCAAGCGCCAGTTTGGAGGTGGATGGTGCGGGACAACACGCACCTGAAAGCATTAATATTTGAGGACTTTTTAGTGTCTGCGATCATTCTCATAACGCAATGAATGTAACAATATTCATAACAAATCTTTGGCAGATTCTTTGTTTCATTTGAGGTACCTTTTTCATAACGGATGCGAGTGGAATATCTTCACAATCGTCAATTATGAAGAGCTCCTGAGGATCACTGGTATCACCAAGTATGGTATCCTTGCCTCTGCAGTACCAGTCTGCGTGTAGGTACTTCTCCCCCTTCATGTCCTCCCACAAGCTCACAACTCGCGCTATGTACGGCAAGTCCTTCACACCGGCGTCAGGTTCGATCTGCACGCAGTCACCTCGACACACTACGTCTTCATTGACCCGAGCACTCGAGTAATACACGCGCTTGCTGGTGCGATAAGAGGCCTCGCCAACCCAACACAGTTTATCGGTTGTCTTCTTGACACGATGGCTTCTGGTCTGCGCTGCAGCGTCACGCAAGTTGGCGAGTTTTTGTACTGCTTCTTCCTCGTTCTCGTCATCGGGCTCAGCAAGCATCATGTTGGGACACCGGCGATCTTTGCAACATTGCTTGGACCGACCACTGCCGCCGAATTTGATCATGTCCTTGCATGAAGAACACTCACCACAATCCTGCTTGAGGCATGCCTCACACACGCCGCAACGCATCCGACGCGGTCCACTTTTCTCTTTAGTATCGTTGGCAGAGTTGTCTCCTTTATGAGAATCTATTTGGTCAGCAAAGAACTGGTCGAAACAGCGACGTACTAAAGGCGTGGTGGTAGCCTTAGTCCACTTGGGCATCTTCTTGACCGTCTTGATGCGAGGCCCGCGGGTCTTGAGAGCACATCGCTTGCCGAGCGTCACGCCAGCGAGGTCAACCAACGTCCGTAGGCAAGGGTGAGTGATGAGGACATCACTGCCGTCGCCAGCCACGTCAAAATTGTGTACTTGGTCACATACAAACTGGGCGTGACGAAGCAACGAGTCTTCACTCAAAACAACGTCTGCAAATAACACATGATGAGATAATTTAGAATGTTTACTCTAATACCGCATTTGAAACGCATCTATTAAATGAACGCTGCTAAAAAATAGGAAAAAAATTATTCAGGACAAGGATTAAATTAGTTAATAAATTTTTACGGGGCATGATCGTAAATGACATTCGCTAGAAGTTATTGTTTAAATTTACGATTGCAGTATTCAACAATACCTATGTAGCAGTAACGGTATTATTAGCAAAGATTATGCAACAGTATCTACTGACCTGGAGGTGGGACGGTGGTCTGCAACAAATTCAGCAGGTCTTCATAACCGCCATCCTCATTATCATAGAGAAACTCGATCACCAGTTTGCTCAGATATATTTTCTCCATGACAGCATCGACGTATTGCTTGTACACGGGCGATGGATCCATAAGCACATACTCTGCATATCCCGTCGAGAATCCAAGTAGAGCTTTTTCCCCTGAAAAGTTAATGTAAAAATTTGGAATTGTACTCCTTTTCGTGGTGTAAATATAAAAACAAATAAACTGATTATGGAAGCCTAATGCAGGCAATATACGCAATTCAAGTAGTAGTAGTAGTAGTAGTAGGGAGAGGTTTCTAGCGCTTCAGGGTCGAGGTAACCTCCTATAAAAAATCTTGATTACATAAATTTCCGACAAACATTGTGACTTTTTGAAAAATTTCAAATGCCCAAACACGCTCGTCCCGCTTATTGGTTTTAGCATTTAAATCAGAATTAATCATATTACTATGTGTTTATAGGGTAGGTAAATATTTATTTTCTAACAAAACACTAAAAAATTCTGCCATGTAAGACAAAAAAGTTAAAATATGGAATGAAAGCAAAGTATAAACACAGCACTAATGCACTACCATATAAATTAGAGTCTAAATAATACCAATACAATTTAAATGTTCACTCCTGATATTCACTGAATAGATGATGTTAAATAATTGAGAAGGCAGCAGTCTAATTGAGGTATTTTATAGGTGTGCAGATGAAATTTAAATAACAGCCAAAAATCAGGCTAAATGAGTTTTTCCAGGATTTCAAAATGATTGCTAAAAAGCTACAAATTATCTAATAAATAAAGCAAACTCTCACATTTTAATACATTATTTTTTATGCTACAGATAGTCTTATTTGGAACCTGACTGCAGATAAAACCTCTCAAAACCAAACATTGAAATAAAAATGGTCAGGTAGCTTGAACCATCTTCCATAATAAGAATAATGGTCCAGTAGCTTGTACATTACCTATCCATCATATGAAAAAACCTTACATAGAAGCCACTCTTACCCCCATCAAAACCCGAGATCCACCACTCGTTGATGGGCCCCACATCCATGACCGGCACTCCATCGAGAGGTGTAGGGTCCTCAGCAAAGATGGGCTTGATGTAGCCTGATGTGTATAGCAGCGCATTGCGTTCTATCAACCCACCATCAAACGGACACACATGGCCTTGCTTGTCATAAACCCTGGAATATATTAGTCACATTGGCAAAGCTGATCAAGGTGCAAGGCATGTAACCAACTTAAAAATCCTTGTTTACCCAAAAAACAGTTATCCAGGAGTGAAAAACAACACAACGGATGAAAACAGAATGCTTTTAAAATTAGACAAACTCACGTGAACGAAGTGAGCTTATGTTGCGGGCGTTCTTCCAAATCATCATCCATAAATATTGCCAACTTAGGGTCAGTGAGAGCTATAAACTCCTCAGTTGCGTCCTGGGGATGTCCCTCATAGAATGAGAGTGAGTCCGAGTCCAAAATTTGGCGGCAAATGGGGCAACGCGACTTGGGAGCTGCAGGTTGTGAGGTTTTCTGGTCTTGGCTCGAGTGATAAGACCTGCAAATGTGTAAAGTCTAGAACCATAACACCCGAATACAGAGTCTTAATGACAGCACAATAGGAGTATTCAATTGATTGTAGTAAACCATAAAACAGTGGTTATCCCTTATAATAAATAAAACTTTACAATTTTAAAAATTAAACTGATAAAAAGTGAGTCCCTCACCGTTCAGGCTCAGCTAACTTCAGTCTCTTTTCAGATGGAAAACCTTCAAATTCATCACCAGGATCGTCCGAATCCCAAGACGTGGTTATATTGTCTTTTTTGACAGAAGCAGCATCCTTGGCATCACAGTCTTCCTTGTCTTCTTGGACAGAAGCAGCGTCATTGGCATCACAGTCTTCCTTGTCTTCTTGGACAGAAGCAGCGCCATTGGCATCACAGTCTTCCTTGTCTTCTTGGACAGAAGCAGCGTCCTTGGCATCACAGTCTTCCTTGTCTTCTTGGACAGAAGCAGCGTCATTGGCATCACAGTCTTCCTTGTCTTCTTGGACAGAAGCAGAGTCATTTGCATCACAGTCTTTCATATTTCCATTGGATAGAATATGATAGTTGCCAGCATCTCTAGCATGTGATGACACTATACCATCAGCGTCACACAAATCATCCTTCTTTTGTTTTATTTCAAGAGTTTTGCAGTCTCTCTCAATGTCAGCTTCAAGAACAGGTTTATTAGGTGATACCGGCGTCTTTGGACTGTCAAATTCAACTTCGTGCTGATTATTGAAAGGAGCTGAAGGAATGGCGATTTCTGAGGCGTTTTTACATCCATTCTGGAGTGTATTATGAGGTTGAGGATCTTTCTTGATGAACGAGAACATCTCAGTGATGGATTTTTGCCTGGCGGTATCCTTACGCTTCACTGAAAAACAACATAGGCATCAATAATTATGCAAAATAGGCATTAGTAATTATGCAGAATTTATTTACTAGACATGAGCTTTGAAACTACTACATTCACCAAGTATTAGACAAATGAGTTAAGTACATTCATAGTGAAATACTTAAGTTGTATTAACTTCAATCCTAATAAGTTTCATACACAAGAATTTACTACCTTTAACTTTTGCTGGGGTGGCAGTTTTCTTCACTTTACTATCACTTGAAGCAGAAGGGATAGGGAGTGGGAAGCCATCTTCACCATTAGAAAAGCCTAGACCTCCTTTGGGCAGTTCACTTTCATGTTGCTGTGACTCAATGCCATTAGTAAGGTGAGACGAGGACATTCCTTGCTTCGTCTTAATTGATTCCTTAACACAAATTTCATTTTGGGGTAATTGTGGGCCCTGCAGAAATTCTAAAGATTTTATGCTTATTTTGCCCAAAGATTCATTAGAGTCTTCCATTTCTGTTCCTGGTATTGAAGTGCTGGGTGAGACCTTCAGTGAAGAGTCCAATGATGAAGAAGCATTTGCAACATTTTGGTTATTCTCATCACAATTTCCTGGGTGTTGTATTTTTGCTGGCTCTTGATGGGAAAGTTTGTTGAAAGTTTCAAAAACTTCCAAAGCTTGTTCATAGAACTGGCGCTGCAAGATAAGAACATTTCATCAAATTTTAAAACTAAAGGTACAACTTTCTCCATAACCTTAATTACTTCAATATTGAACCATCAAACAATAACCGGAATAAGCTTATAAAAAAAGGTACAACAATTATATATACAATTATAGTAATTATGCAGCCGAGATCAATTATAAATGATCTTATATTGACACATACCTCATTGATACCACCTGCTTCTAATGTATTATCCAGGTAAGTCAAACTCATGATACAGGGAGCAGGCAAGTAAGGTTTCAAATAGGAGCGCAGCCTTTTGACCGCCCCTTTGGCAGTAATGTCCCCATCTTCATATTCCTCCCATACATTGTTTACACTGAAATAAAAATAAAAGATCAGAATTCACAACAATAAATTTTTACAACAGTTAGGAAAATATTTTAGATTCAATAATCTAATGAGTAATTAAAAATTACATATTTAATAGTAATAAATTAGAAGGCTTTCTGAATGATAAGCATTTGAATTATAAGGCGATTGATCAAGGTAAAACATTTAAGCCAAACCTAGAGCTTGTCTATACATGCAATTCAAGTTAGAGGATTGTTGGCTAGCAATACCAAGGTACGTACTTAAAATGTATATACATAGCTTCACCTCAAATAGGTAGGTATGCATTTGACCACAATTCAGTTAGGCTTTTTCAGAGCTTGTGCATGAATATTACAGTGAGCTACGAGGGAAGGGCATCTGTGCATTGAAAACAAATTTATATTCAATGGATAACAATGTGCTGGAGTTGGAGCCAACCTAATCTGGAATATTGGAAGGATTTTCTAGAAAATGTGGGTATTTTACAGGTAATTTTCAAACTGTGGTCAAACTGTACCCATTTCTCATTTTTCACAGAAATTTTTTACAAGGATCATAGGTACAGATGAAATGTACCCCATTTACAAGTGCTTTTGTATCATCCAGGGGTGGCTTCTGCCCAATTTTCCAGTTTGGAAAATTGGATCATGTTTGGAAAGTACTATATCATGGATACCGTACCAGCTTTATCATACAAAAAAAATTAGTTTAAATATCAAGTAAATGGGGAAATTAAAAATGAACTGATTCTGAGAAATCTGTGGTTTGTCACTACTATGTTGCCACTTAGCTTATGTTGCCAACCTTAAAACAAAACAATCACTGGGCAGAAGTCACTGACAATGATATGCTTAACAAGTCTGGAAAAGTCCTACTTTTTTCTGAAATATTGCGGCTCTAATATCATATAATTTCAGGAGGTATGAAATCTTGCAGCTCTAATGTTATGTATTTTTGTTCGATTGTAAAAAATACAGTTTGCACTTCGCAAACATGTCATTGCATAAAATTTTAACCTTCCACAATCCACAGTACTTCAATGCTCCCGCCAAAATATCCTGCGGAATGTAATGATAATGAGCCAACAGTCAACTCAAATGTTTCTATGAAGATTGCATAGTTGCAGTCACATCAGAGTGGTCGGTCAGACTGCATTATCACATGTTCAGTTGCCACATAAGTAAAGACAAATGTTATTGTTGCTGTTTGACTGTTTTTAGGGTAAAATTAGAGATTTGGTTTGGGATAACATGTACACAAGACTCTGTAAATAAGTTTGCAGCTTGTAATTGGCTCTACATGGCCAAGATACCGAATTCACAGCCCAAAAAAAAAATAGAATCAAGGCTGGCAAATCATTAAAACCACAGTTCAAAAATCCAGTTGTAGATCACCAAGTAGATAACTACCGTACCTATGTCTGCTGCTTGTTGCTGATTTTGTACATTCTTATGATCCTTTGGCCTTGGCCAAATACTTTATTGAATAAAAATGGAAAAAAATTAACATTTTTTGCCAGTAATTTTTAAAATCAGCTATAAAAAGATAGTTCTTACTTTTACCAATGATTTTGTTAAATTTCAGTCTGACATTCAATTTAGCCTATGCAGGCATGGAATATATCTATGTGGCAAGCTGTGACTGGAATTTTTGAGCTGTGGGTTTATAGGTTTGCCAGCCGTTAGGTATTCCATTTCTTTGAGCCATGAATTCCTCATCTTAGCCACGAAAAGCCATTCACGAGAAACAAACTTATTATTATTATTAGTCCCATGCATGTGTTACCCTACATCTCTAATTTTACCCTACAAACAGTTACTAACATTTGTCTTCAGTCTTCACTTAAGAGGCAACTAAACAATTGATAATGCAGTCTGACCGCACTGACGTGACTGCAACTAAGTGATCTTCAAGGAAATGTTTTGGGTTGACTTGTTATTCATGTTATTACATTCTGCATGTTATTTTGGCGGGAGGCAGGAGCATTGAAGTATATATACTGCAGATTTTGAAACTTGAAAATAAGGTGTGTACCATAGCAGATACCAATATCATACCATCAAACAGGGTAATAAGGGACGGGCAGGGTAAATCGGGACAGTCATCCTTCATTTTGTAGAAATTTTGTAGCAGCTAAATTAATCAAAATATTGCAGAATTAAAAATAGTGGGATAAAGTTCAACATTTTTACTTCTATGTAGCATAAAGTTAAGAAATCATACATTTACTACCTCTAGAAAATCTCTGAAAAAAGTGTGAAAAGTGAGATTTTGGAAACATATGGTACCTCTGTTAAGGTCTGTATAAAAAAATTTTACTTAGATAAAAGTTGCACACAAGTTTTGGCTTAAAAACCAGATTGATAGAATTAACATATCTCAATCCCAAAAAAATGATGGCCATTTCTGTAGGACAGGGTAATAAGGGACACCACTGTGCAGAGAGTGGATGAATATTTCAAGATCTTTTCAGTAGCAAAATTTATGCCTTCAGAAGATCTTGCCGACACATTTAGATTGAAATTCTATCATTTAATATATTTGTCAGTCTTCGGCCAACCATTTAAAAAAGTAAGGTTTCCGGCATGTTGGATTGATCAGTATGCAGCAGCAGTGAAGCTAGCTTGTCCGAAAATCAATTGCGATGAGTTCCCACCGAAAAAAGTAAACGTTAAGTTTGCGATTACGTAGTTGCGGTCACATTAGTGATTAGAGTGGCTGCGTAAATGGCTTTTCATTAAAAATTACCCGGCGACGCATCTTAAAATTACCCGGCGACGCTTAGGGCTTAAAAACCTCTGTATTGGCAACGCTGCATCCACCCTCTGCACCATGGATTGGAAGGGACACCCTTCGGGTTGGGAGGTAATAAGAAATTAAGGGACACCCCTAAAAATGCATTTGCAGTAGAACCTTGATTAGCAAAGGCTTTACTTAATAAAAAATTAATTAATGACAAAAAATGTTGATTAGGCCTACATTTACCTTGCTCAGCTACAAAATTCACTTAATAAAAAATTAATGCATCATCGGTCATCACAAAATTGTGCAGAGAATGACATAGATATAATTGTGCACTGGGCAACATAAAATGAAAAGTAATTAATCTAAAGAATGATTTATTTCTCCAAAAATATGATGATTATCACTAAAATAGTTTCTGTCTCAGGTATGTTTTTATAATCTTTTTTTTTTGTCATAGTGAATTCACTGGACCTAATTGAAATGGAGTGAAATTACAAGCCATCCTGTAACTTGTAAGCTTACAGATACAGAAGAAATGCTACCTGCTAGGCTGCTGGGCCGCTGGCTGGGTGGCTGCTAATTGCTATATCTAGGGCCTAGTACCTACTACTGCATAGTGGCAAACCAGCAATTTTCTAGAATCAGTTCATTTTTAATTTTCTCATTTAGTACTCAAGATTTTAACAGATTTCTTATGTAAGATAATTCTGGTATCCAAGATACTTAACTGGTCTACTTAGAGGACTCAAAAATGAACTTGAGGAAGAGTCTAAAAAACTCTGCTTTGCCACTATGCCTACTAGGCCTATATCGGCTATATGGCTGCTGATATGAAGCTTGCATTGCAGTGGAGTGAGTGGACACTGGACAAGGTCGTTGTAAATGCTCATTGGCTGTTCATGAAATTGACATTGGACTATGAAGTGTGTAAATATTTAAAGTGTAGACAGAATATTCTAAAAATTTGCACTGTCAAAGACATATGTTTTATTAATTTGACAGACTCACTCTCGCTGTAGTTTTGAACATCAAGAAACGAAGAAAGAACCTAAATTTCATTTTATACATACCCTTCCACAACGTCGTTTGGGATTTGACTCGCCATTTTGAAGTTAAAAATTATATTGATACCATATATTTCTATTCATTCGGTTCATAAAAAATCGGTACAGTACTAAAACCGTAAAAAGTACATCTTTTTAATTTTGGCGCGCAGCTGCCAAGGTACACAACTACTGAATATGCACACGAGAGCCGGAAAACGGTGCTGCGGAAAGTTTGAACGGAGAAATATTACAATGGTTTACACTTTACAGACTTGAACAGACCATCCCGACGCTATTGGGACCATTTCTGAGGATTTCTAAAATGTTGAGGCAAATTTAGAATTTTAAACTACTACTTTGAACAAGGTATTTTTACATGACTTCTCAGCACAACGAACTTGAAAAATATCTCACGAATATAGCACAATATATCCATTCTCGATTGAGTAGAAGTATAATATCTTGTACTGAATTTTCATGAAAAACAGCACGAATTAAAAAGTTTTTATCATAACCCTTGTCTTTAATTTGACTGTAAAAATTATATTCGACTAAATGTTTCACTTCACGTTCAACTTCAGTTGTCGACGTCTGCGTGGGGAGCTCATTGAAGTATACAAGTATACTCATGACTTATACAAGGTCCAAGAAGGATTACTAAAATTTGAAACAAGAACCAACATCAGGGGCCAAGGCCATAAACTAAAAAAACTACGTTGTAACACATCCATGTGACAACATTTCTTCTCGCTTCGAGGCACCGACATGTGGAACAGCCTCTCTGATGGCATCGTTGACGCTCCGGGTATGAACGCCTTTAAGAACAGACTAGACGAATGCGGGAGCATACGTTCAGTCTTAAAATACCTAGCACCGTACAGACCAGGCAATAAGTCTAGCAGCTTTCTCAAACAATCGTCAGTTATGGAAAGATCGGGTTCCATAGGCCGGATCCCTTGTGAATCAAGACACGAAAAATACAAGAATGGGCAACAGGTCATGGGCCTATTTCTTCAGTGCCGACACTTGTATTCTATTCTATTCTATAACAAATTTAATTGTCAAATATTCAAACGTTTCGTAGGATATCTAATTACGCGAGTGACGTTGCGCTGTATTGTTAAGCATTTCATTTTCATTTCAATGTTAATATTAAACTTCATTGTTAAAAATAAGCGGTGCCGGTGTTATTAGTTTATTAGGCATAATATGATGTTAATATAGCGATTTCAGCGTTTATTAGGCCGTAGGCCTGCCGATGATTCTTAACATCGCCGAGCATTCACAGCTTGTTGCGGTCTCGAACTCGCAACTCACTGCTTCAAATTTTCGGGTCGCCTGCCGAAGACCACCACTGCCCCGGATGTAATGGACCATCATGTTTCCTGCCTTCCGGAACGTAGCCTTCAACACTTCAAGCCGTCCGTATCTAGGCCGTGGGTCAAACCCGCCCTTGGTCGAACGGCCACTTGTCGAAGGACAATAGATTTTGGAACAGAACTATGCTATCTGAAACCTAACCTCAGATGCGGTGAAGGTACCATTACGTAATTTAACGATGCCCGGAAGTCATATTCGATCCGTGGCCTGGTGGTGCACGGCAGGTGGTGGTCAATGCCGGAAGAGGACAACGTCGAGTGGTGCACGGCTGATTGGTGTAGGTCCGGAGAGATGCAAGGCGTTCGATTCAGGGCTTATTGGTGCACAAAATTGGTGGTGCACGGCTGCGCTCCCCAAATTTTCGATGCTTAACCGCCCGGCCTCCTCGCCGATTCTGACCAGAAACTGGCGCACAGAGCTGGGATCAAACCCACACTTCTCTGCTGCACTCCTGTACGCTGAACTGTAACTACTGGGCCACCCTGCCACATGTTTTTGTTGGTTATATTCCATCATGTCGCAACAATATAGTCAGAAATTTTCCATCCGTTATAGAAATATCGCCAGCGACAATGTTCTTTGATTCATTGCTTATGAGAGTTCCAATTTAATCCTTACTGACAAAGAATTTTCTTGAACCCAGTTGTGAAATTTCGTTTTTGGGGTTACAAGATTGCTTTTGGGTAGGATATTTTAGTCTCCCAGAATTTCTTTGTTAAGCTCTAAATTTCTGTGTCCAATGCGTTTGCCTAGCTAGTATACCGCCAGTAGCTCTTCTTGCGATTCAGAATAGAATTTTATGATGGTAAAAGATGGGAAAACAATAGCAAATAACGTGAAAATTGTTCAACTTTCGGGGTTTTACAGAAGATTGAAGCGAATAAAGGAAATAATTTGTGTAAATCGGTATTGTATCCTCGACAACTGACTAGTTATTTCATCGATATTTTATGGAGTCAAATGAAACGAAAAACTTTTACCTGTACTCGATTCGAACGTAAGTCGGGTATATCCTGCATAGCAATTTAAGATTTAAACATCACTGGGATTTGTGCTTCGTTTTACGCTCACTCGCCATGATTCAAACGATGCAAAACAATAATAGGAATAAAAAGATGATTAAAAAAATTGTAATTTATATTCAACAATACTAAATTTTATTAACAAAGTTGATATTTATGCAATATTGCGTACCATGGATATGGCTGAATAAAAGGCCAACGAGCCAGCTTAGGAAGGAAGCAGTCAGACCTGCCACCGATTATGTTAAAACTGGTCGTTCTCTATTCAAGAGTACTAAATTCGATTAACAAAATTATCAATTATACGTAATTACGTGAAATGAATGTAGCTGAAGAAGCCAGCGTTGGTAGGAAGCAGTCAAACCTGCCCACGACGTTGTCTTGACGGGACGCTGATGTAAGGGCCTACCTCGGGCACTGGTCAAGGTCTTGTCGCTGACCAGTTCCTGGAATGAAACTCAGGACAGAATCTGATGAATAAATTCCAATATTTTTGATCTAGTGAGCCGATCACCGCCTACTATATCAATATTCAATACTCTAAAATTGATGAAAATTAATAATTATTGCTGGCTTGATAACTTACATGTGGGTAACGATCTCGGTTCAAATTTTCAAAAACACAACATCTTGGTTTATTATTTCATATTTATTAGTCAATTTCTCCTAAAAGTTTCATCGGCTTAACCACCAGATCACAGTACGAGCCAACTCTCAAAATGTTGAAGCCTGAAACGGCAGATCGCTCATAGAACAGACAGCATTTACGTCCAGGGCCAAATTTACGATCGTTGCTTGATTTTCGAGCATGCGGTTGCTAGCTGCGCAGCACCGTAAGTTTCGCGGGAACCTTGAGGAGAGACAAACATACTGGCCGCGCTGCTGCTCATCTTCACTAACGTGTCCTTGCAGACTTCCTTGTCAGCACGTGGGACACAACTGAAGAAAATATACCAAATGTTGACAACGATTTAACATTTCCTCGTCAAGAGGACTGTCCCCCCTTCAGCTGAAATGATATAGGAACTGAAATTACGGTATAGTTTATCAAAGTTTGTGATCAACAATCAGATTGCTCGGGTTCAGGCGAGGATTTCGTTCTAATAAGTTTTTCTTTTATATTTTAATTTTGTTGAAACACAGATGCTGCGGTTGGTAACTTTCCTTTCCTGGAAATTCACGTATTGCCAGCAGCAATCATTGTGAATTTTTATTCGATTATGGACGAAGCGTCACTTATTCGAATTTCAAATCAAAATCCAAATGACTTTGCACCTTTACTCGTTCCCATCATTTTTAACGAAGGTTTTCAGGGATAATCACTTTTCACGCAAGCAAATAGCCTCATTTCAAAACAAAATCTCACATCATGAACATCGCTGTTTGTGAGCAAAATTCCGTCAATTCTGATGTCCAAGTATGGCAGTTTGCATGAATAAATGAAAATAAGAAGTGAATTTTCTTCAGTCTCCTAGTCTTTTTCAGCACTAAGACTCTAAGACAAGCAAGCAATTAATTGAAGCCCCAATGATGTACCTTTCACCACAGGGTTTTTGACATTTTGCAACCTTCACCCGCCTCCTTTAATCTTAAAAACAAACGGCGCCAGCGCACGTAAATATTCCCGCTAAAGTCTTGTGCAAGATTCGACGAGCCAGCGGCGCTGTGAACGCAACCTTTGACTTTCAGGCTGGCAGTGCGCGGAAAAACGTTTACCGTGCGCCTTGTCCAGAAAAATAATGACCACAGAGCAAATCTTGCATCTTAATGCTGCATGAGCTTTTACCTAAGCCTTGAAAATAGAGATCTGGAATGTTCATTGTACGGGTTTCTTCAAGTATAACCAAGCTTTGACGATGCTTGGATCAGAGGCCTGGGTAGGCACATGGATAAAAGAGGGATCGATAGGATAAGACAGGATGAGATGGATAAGAGAGGGATAGATAGGATAAGATAGTATGACATGGACAAGAGAGGGATCGATAGGATAAGACAGGATGAGATGGATAAGAGAGGGATAGTAGTTACTGAACATCACAACTTATAGTTCACCGAGCTTGTATAATGTTGATATTATTGCATCATTGTGTGTATTATTGTTTACTTGCATGATGTTGATATATAGTTTGATGTTGATAATATAAAACAGATATATTTGGAATCAGGTTTCTTTAGACATATCTAAAAAATTGGTTCAGTACTCACTGCAGTGAGTGACAGAGAGCGCATTTTCTCGTCCGTCTGTGACGTGAAGTCACTGACGGAGATACGGACGGACATGACGTGCACAATAGCGCATTTTTTTCTATCAATGGGAAAATGCGCTTAAAAGGGTATAACAAAAATGTCAAGCTTGATTAACATTTATTTAGAAATCATGAATGTTCTTCTAAGCTTATTAATTTGGAAGTTTTGTATAAATGAATTGATTAACAATACAGTAATATTGCCCCCCAACTTATCTGGGTACATTGGTAAGGCAGCTCTAGAGTCCTCTGCGAGCCACAACGGAACATTGTTTGTGAATTAAAAAAGAACTAAAGTTTGACAACTTCGTCATGTGCAAAAACCGTCCGACAAAAGAAAATAAAGCTTCATTGAAACTGTATGGAGCTGTATGAAGAATTGGCTTAATGAACCTCCATAGTTCCTTTCATTTGAAGTTTGCAAGCGCGCTTCCGTGAGGCTTGATGAAAGCCAGCGCCGTGACCCCGCGTGGACAGCGGCTTGGATATTATGCAGCCCTGACTCCTGTTTATACCTGCACACAACGAGCAGCTGCTGCCGACTACTTTTTACAA